GAGTCTGGATCAGACAATCAAGTGATTAATATCATGAGCATCGATCGCGATCAACGCAATTGGAATCTATCACATCAACCATGTCAGCGAGCCTGACCACCCGATCCCGTTAGTCGTCTTTTACAAGCATAGTCGCCTTTTACGACAAGCATGGGTTGCTGAAGACCTATTCTACCCCGGATCTTCACAGGTCCATATCAACAAGGAATACATATATTTATTTTATATTTCATTATTTAAAAAAAAATAATTTGGGTTTTGGATCAGGATATTTTACATTTGATGCAAGGTCAAACATTTAAATTGTTTTGTAGAATCAAATTCTTCATCGAAATTGACAAACACAAAAATAGGGACGGCAAGTATATTTTGAGCAGACATTGAGTTAGTGACGTAACATTTACGTCCCATCGGCAATATCCGACCATATAACTTCAGAACCAGTTTAACATTATAACACTGATATAAATCAACATATGTGACTGAAAAGATGTACATAGCAAAATTTTCTCCCTTTTTAATTTAACCAAGAAGTAAATTTCATCTGATAAAAAGTGACCATCATAAGAAACGTATCGCCACAAACATTATTATCATGATAAATTCAACTGAACCAAATCCCCAATTCTACAAAACAACGGATGGAGCAGTTATAGAAACTGTTTGTTAAATAAATTAAACAAAATCGTACTTTTTAAAGGCAACCCAGTAATTCTGACCATGTCACTTCGCAGGTGTAACGTTTATTTGCCAAACGGCGTATAATGTCACGCTCCCACGCCAGTGAGATGCGCATGATATTATCATCCAACAAGCCGAAATCCGCCTAATAACGACCGCGTTACTCGGCTGACTTGTGTGTGTCGGGACTACTTTCATGGAACCGTAAAACATGGGAATTACAGACACCAGTCTGAATAGAATCTGCGGGCAGGGGTAAAACCACGCCCTGTTCGGAGCCCACCGTCGTCGTGTGTGCAGACCCGTGATTCTTATCTGTGTTCCGAAATTACAAAATAGGCTTGAAAAAGAGTTGAAGCACACACTTGGGATTAAGTGTTTCATTATAAACGCTGCAACGACTTTGGGAGTAAATTGCCCCAAGTTTCAAGAGGTGTATTAGTATTAGGGATAATTCGGTTAAATTGGTTAAAAATATGTTTTATGGTTCAGCGTTGTAAAATGGTTTATTTGGGTTGTTGCAAACATATGCATTGAAGTAATGTAATTTGGGTTGACAAATGTGCAGTACATTTTGGTGAGCAAACAGACGCCCTGTAAGACGAGCGTGCCTTGTACGTACTGCGGAGGTGTTTATTTTTGTATAACGCCGTACTCTGCAATTTTCCAGCCATACGACGACGGCCTGCAAATAATCGAGTCTGGATCACACAATCCAGTGATTGATATTATGAGCAAAGATCCAAATCATCGGGATATGATGACAAATTTCCAGCTATACTACGACGGCCTGCAAATAATCGAGTCTTTATCACACAATCCAGTGATTGATATTATGAGCAACGATCCAAATCATCGGGATAAGATGCCATTCAATCAACCAAGCCCCTCAGCCGATCCATTAAATCGTCTCTTATGACCAACAGAGGTTGATGGGGGTCAATTCTAAATCAAGGGGGGTTTGAAATATCATTTCTTAAATTTCGATCATATATCAATTTATGTATATAATACGTTTATTTACAATGCGTAGAATTCCATTCACCAAGTGAATACTGATGGCGCTACATTATTCCCACCGGCCAATGGATCAGCGTGCTCTCGATTTTCATTCACCATTATCCATCAGGGTACCCATTTACTGCTGCGTGAACAGAGGCATATCACGAACAAAGAGCTTCCCCCATATCTCGGGTTTACTTGAGTTATACATCATATCATAGGGATATACATGTTGTGTTTTATTTGGTTGTTGTTAACGCCGCACTCAACATTATTCCAGCCATATGACGGCAGTCTGTAAATAACGAATCTGGACCAGACAATGCAGTGATCGATATCATGAGCATCCATCCACGAAATTGGGACAGGATGACATGCATAAACCAAGTCAGCGAGCCTGACCACCCGATCCCGTTAGTCGGCTCTTACGGCAAGCATGGGTTGCTGAAGACCTATTCTACCCGGGTCTTCACTGGTTGCGATATACATGTAGTTATAACCCAACTATGCGTCAGCTATATCTCAGCCACATATAACCAATATCTAATTAAATACAGCTCAATTATAATTATACCTATCAACAATAAATCATCAACTTTATCTATGAACTAAAAATATGTCTTGAGCAGCGGATATCAACAGGCTGGTTCAGCTGTATCCGACAATATTTCTGGTATTTTTGTCATGTATCAACGATGTCAATATGATGAAGGTGGTTGGTGTTCGTTTGTTGACGTCAGTAAATATTCGCTTCTGGACCAGATAATTCAGTGATTTATATAATGTACAACGTCTCATGCCGTCGAGGTGAGATGACACACAATGGTTTTTTTTCCGGTCACACAACATATTTATATCATCGAGTGAACTGACAGAACTAGTATTTCGAAAGTCTCAGCTTTTGGCAAAAATGTCAAATTTTAGGCCACGGGGAGAGCGTGAGGGGGCAAATGTTTGAAGATTGTCTCTGGCTCAGAATATTTATAATCTGGTGTGAAATAATATTCACTCACTTCACATGAATTTCAAATATACAAAGAATTTCATTCACTGATTCCTAAGACCTGCATCACTTGGGGCTTTCCTCCCACATTAAGCTGACAGGCCGTGATATAACTGGAATACTGTTAAAAGCGGCGTTAAACCCAACTCCCTCACTCATTCACTGATTCAGTAAGAAGTCAATCGGTCACAGTAAGCCATCACCAAATCTATATCAGGTTTCGTGTAATCGATCACCCATAAAGCGTTTGAATGTGGAAATGCAGTATATATTTCTATAAACATTAGATGTGCATCCCAGAAGACCATATTTCAACTGTCAGCACTTCACTTATGGCGTTGGGCAATTTGATAAGTATTTTTAACTTGATTTTAATTATTAAATATTTAAGTCTTCGTGTAATTGTGACTGCATTTGGTACTGCTATTGTGTTTTCATTAACTGTTAGTTCTGTTAAACGACTCAACAGCTATAGTTCATAAGGTGTACCTCATTCTCCGTTAAAACTTAACAACAAAGCACTTCTGTCATCACCAGTACTTCACTTTCGGTGATCAGTTTGGTTGACTTTAACATGAATAAGATCAGATATTGTACACAGCCTATCTTAATCATTTCAGCCATTTTCACATTAACTATTCTTCTTGGCAGCAAAATATGTAATATATTGATATCGGTTTCCCTTGTGTTGCATTCGTGACCAACTCGTGTTATTCCGGGACAAGCCGATCTTCTTGCAGGTTACGGAAAGGGGCGAGTGGTGACGAATGCCTTGTGTTGGTATTCCGGGTTAGAATAGGTCCCTAGCAACTTATGCTGGTCGGAAGAGGCGACCAAATGGATCTGGTTGTCAGGCTCGGTGACTTGGTTGATTGCGTGTCATCGTCTCCCGGCGGCGTGGGTCGTTGCTACCACTACTGATCACGATTGTCAGTTCCCGAATCGATTAAATACAGGCCGTCGTCATATAGCTCACAAACACACAAACATACATACAAGGTCACGATTGTCTTAATATATCACATACAGACCTTTATTTGTGGTGGGGTAGCTCAGTGGTTAAAGCGTTGACTCGTCTCACTGAATACCTGGATTCGATTCCCAACGTGTACAATGTGTCAAGCCCCTTTCTGATGTTCACCAACCGTGATACGGTTTGAATATTGCTAAAAAAAGTCGGTAAAACCAAACTCAAATTTATGGACCATGGATAACACTATACAGATTTCCCCTTAGGGACCGGCCATTTATTACAGGGTGGTGCGTTAGAGGTTCTGGATGCACTGTTTTACTGAGAATAATCACCCTCCCTAAAGCTGGTAATATTTGTGGATCTACATTATTTTCATGACCCTCGCCGAAAAGACCACACGCAAAAGCACTTAATATTTTATTACGTTATGTCATTTTTTTCACGATTCTCCCCAAATACTAGTATGTGTATTATTATTTATAACCCTCGCTCATAGACTGTCATATTTTTGGTGACCCTCTACTCATTCCCTCGGACCCACCCAAATAATAAATGACCAGTCCCTTACCTCCACGAGATCTTAAGCAGATAATTTAAACACAAATCATATCTACATAATCACCCACTCTCGGTCCAACCAAATAACGCCCGGTAGCGGCAGCGAACATCAGGGAGAATGATGCTATATATACAAAGTATCTGTAATTGTGTTCCAGCATTGATTATAACAAAGAGCCGTTAATGTGCATGACATGATTACTTGTAAAACAGTAATTTAACTCACCAAACGGGAAAAAACCTTTATCATTTAATTGTAATATAATCTAAATATAGTGTGGCACATTCCTAACTAACCAGGGCTTGAATTTTGTTGGTTAATGTCATAAGATAACTGACTAATGTTGGTTGGCAACCATTCATGTGAATATACTATAGTGGCGACTTCATTTCAGCGAATAAGGATTAAAACCGAAAGACGTTGACTCGAAGGAAGTAGTAATTTCAATTTATAAATATAGTGGTCGACTTCTTGTAATACCGATGCTAAGTCTGTTCGCGTGTTCAGGAATCTCCGAATGTCTGAAATTTCCCGGACGCTAAATAGTACGGACCCACCCCCACCCCCACTCTCACACACTCGACGAAACGAGACGTGCAGTTTGAATGAATATGCGTGTGATCAAAATGCAAACAGTTTTGCCAAAAATGAATCGGGAGAATAGAACGAAAACAGCAGATGAATATCATGATACCAATGTGTCTTGTCTTGACCAGAACGGGAGACAATGTGGCCAATTAATGCCCCATAATGTGTCTGAAAAGACCACCAAAAAAAGTGGCTATGAGCTTCTATGTTTTATTGTTTATATTATGTATACATAAATGAGGTACAAAACATGATGAACAACACAAGAGACACGATGGTTTTATAAGGTGAACAGTCTTTGTGGCATTAAGCCAGAAGGAGTTATTTCCCTTGCTGTTTTGATAACACGAGCTCTCTCAAGCTGTCTTCACTTTCCTTTAGGCTTTTGTCCAGGTAGCCTTTGTTAATCTGCAACAGAAGGAAACATAATTTAAAAAAATATTACAAATATGAGTAAACAGTACCGGTACTTACCAAGGATCCAGGATTTTTTGTATTGGTTCAACTCAAAACAGTTTCTCCTCCAAATTTGTCTTGAAGACGACTGATTTAATGTTTATTTACATTGTTAAAAGTTCTAATGATAAAAAAAGCAAATAAACCATAATATATTAGATACAATTATTTGAAATAGCATTGAAAAATAATGACAATCCAGACATCCCTGTTTATAAGATATGTCCATAAATGAAGACAACTACACTGAACTGGAGTTGAGTACTATTGTTGCAAAGAAATATGACTTTGGTCAGATGAGAAAAAATCTAAAAGTCAAAATGTTTTCCTAAATAATAATACCAGGTCATAAAAATAGTCAGTGAGAATGGCATAAAGTTTGTTAGTTGTCCAAAGCCAAAGTCAGATGTCATAAGCAACATTTCAAACCATTGTGAAATAATGACACACAAGTCACGAAGCACGATGTTTGTTAGCCGCACCGAGCAATATTCCAGCAATATAACAGCGGTCTGTAAATAATAGAGTCTGGACCAGACAATCAAGTGATTGACATCATGAGCACTGATCCACGCAATTGGGATACGATGACATGCATCAACCAAGTCAGCGAGCCCGACCACCCGATCCCGTTAGGTGTCTCTTACGACAAGTGTAGTCGCCTTTTACAACAAGCATTGGTTGCTGAAGACCTGTTTTTCCCCGGATCTTCCCGGGTCACATATATCTTGTAAATGCCAAATGTAAAATTACATAGCATGACTACATGCATGGGGAAAATGTTGTATAGCTTGTGTCTCACCCCCTGAACTTTCACTTTTTAGTCAAATGAATAGAATATGTTTCAACATATAAACATTAAAACATCAAGGTGGTGTGTCCGGTTCAATGCTTCAATGGGAGGGCGGTGCTAGGGCAATGTTCCAAAATGTAACAGAAGTTGTATTAGGCCATGATATGGTGCCAATCCAAACTTGTTCTAAACCTATACAACATATGAGGCGAACTTAAAAAAGACCATCTGATCCCATCACCCGATGCCCTCAGTCGCCTCTTACGACAAGCATAGTCTCTTCTTACGGCAAGCATAGTCGCCTCTTACAGCAAGCATGGGTTTCTGAAGACCTATCCTACCCCGGATCTTCATGGGTCTCTGATCCAGTTAGTGGCCTCATATGAAATGCATAGATTGGTGTAATCTATTCTAAACATGAATCACCACAACTGACAACCAAACTATACTCAACTAGTCTGAGTCAATTCAACTATTAATGGCTTGAAGGTCGACACCAACATAATATGGTATCTCATAATTCATTTTCACTGAAATAACCAATTCAACTGGCTGTCCTCCCCCCTCAAGACCCCCCCCAGACCAGGCAAAAATCCATCTTGCAATCATTCATTTCGTTAAAAATATAAGTCACATTGCCATTTTTGTACTTCGTGTTCTCCTGCTCATTCCATCAGAGTTCTCTTGAAGCAAGAACATTGTTAGATTTTATTCAACACCTTACCTCTATTGTTTTAATTTTCTCGTCAGATGCTTTGATCTTCTTTGTTAGATTTGACCGTACAACATCCAAGGGTTGAAGAAGAAACCTAGGAATATAGATACCTTTCATGAATGATAACGATGAACAACAAACCACTGAACATGTCACATTGTTTCACAAAACAGACATACCTGGTATTCATTGAATTGTTTGATAGCCAATCCTTAGAAGTTGACGGATGACAAAGTAGAGATAATGTATCGATAACTTATTTGTTTACTGTAAAGGTGTCGTTTCGGTATAGAACCTTATACTGTTGTCAAGCAAGGCTGATCCTTATACCATTGTCAAGCAAGGCTGATCCTTATACCATAGTCAAGCAAGGCTGATCCTTATACCGTAGTCAAGCAAGGCTGATCCTTATACCGTTGTCAAGCAAGGCTGATCCTTATACCGTTGTCAAGCTTGACAATGGTATAAGGATCTATACTGAAACGTCGCCTTCACAGTAAATAAAGAAGTTGTTATTCATAAATTATCTCTACTTTCACAAACAGAAATAATAATTTGTTTGTTATGTTCGTTTGTTGTGTAACACCGCACTCAGCAATATTCCAGCTATATGACAGCGGTCTGTAAATAATCGATTCTGGACCAGACAATCCAGTGATTGATAACATGAGCATCGATCAACGCAATTGGGATACGATGACATGCATCAACCAAGTCAGCAAGCCTGACCACCCGATCCCGTAAGTCGCCTCTTCCGACAAACATAGTCGCCTTTTACAGCAAGCATGGTTTGCTGAAGACTTATTTTACTCCGGATGTTCACAGGTCCAAACAGACATGTATAAAAGGTTGAGTAGTTGACAGAATGTTTCACATAACACACATACTGCATGACATATTATACAATGATATGTGCATGTATGGCCAGGTAATATACATTACCACACACTGCACATTAGTAATGGGGCGAGGGGAACGCTATGCTCAAAGTTATTGCACTTATATTGTGACATGCATGCATGTGTGCGTGTGTGTCTGCTTGTCCAGACTAATGGTGGGTTTTATAATGCTAGCCCACTGAGATACCCTGTCACAGGTTAACATGGATACCTGACTCAGACACAGTGCACTGACTCTGAGTGAGCAAGTAAGTGAGTTGGGTTTAACGCCGCTTTTAACAGTATTCTAGTTATATCACAGCGTGTCAGCTTAATGTGGGAGGAAAGTCCGAGGTGATGCAGGTCTCGGACGCTTCCCACTTCGGTGAAACCCACGAGCACGGGTATGGAGCTGACAAACCTAGAAACATAATCTGGGCGAACCGGGATTCGAACCCACAATCATAGGTTTCTGTAGTGCCCAAGGGATGCAACTCTGCACAGCGAATCGCGGCGCCTCAGCCAACTGGGACACCCGTGTCCCTGCACCAACCAGACCTTGTTTTATCCACATAATGCTGAGCGCCAGGGGGGGGGGCGGTCGGGTAGCCTAATGGTTAAAGTGTTCGGACAGGGATCGAACCACCTACCCTCCGCTCTACAGGTAGATGCTCTAACAACTAGACAATGGAGGTGGTTTTACGATACATGAATAAATGACAGTAATTAGATAAAGAAAAGCTTAAAGAAGTCTTCTTTGGCATATTGAGGAGAATAGCTTACAAGCAAGGTGGGAATAACAGATAAGCTGTACTGACTGAATTATGAAATTTTGTTTTTATTTTATTTCATCCATTACCCAGTTTAATTTTCTCAGACTATGTAGACAAATGTGGCCTCCATTGTCACAAGTGGAGACAGTGGATCTATTGTTGGATCAAAGTCACATAAAACCGTAGTTGATATCATGAACAATGTTGAGGTGAGGTGAAATTTGGTTTAACGTCGTGTCCAAGATTATTGCACTTATATAGCGACGTGCAAGCACGTGTGTGTGGCTGCTTGTACTAGTCCGGACTGATGCCGATTTATAGGTTGAGATCAAGCGATATCTACATTGCTGATATCGCTGCAATGAAATTGCTTCACAATGCTTTGCAGACCATTATGACGTCATTGGTTACCATGACGTCACAATCAAATGACATCACTAATGGCTCTGCTAATGAAGCTGTTAGCAGTACTCCACTAAGACACTGCTTATTACTGTCCACAAACTGAAAAAGTTGGAAGAATGATGTTAGATGATAAATAGAATCTCACCCTTGTGTTTTTTTATATCAAATATATCAACACTCGTTGAAAAAAGTGTAAAACTCCTTGGCAAGACTCGGAGTTTTACACTTTTATCGACTCGTGTAGATATATTTGATATCAAAAGACACTTGCGTGTGATTCTCCATTTGTCAGCAACAGTACCTTCCAAGTACATTTCACACATCTGTAACTCCAGAACAGAAGCTTCATTTAACAATCCGTTAATATGATGTGTCTTAAGACTTAAAACATTGAAATTAGACCCTGGATGATGATTGGCTGAGTTACTCACATCCTCCCCACCCCCTCGTACACCCGGATTCCACCAGGGAGCTGCGAGATCTCAGTGTCCACTAGTTTAGAATGTGCCATGGTCCTCTTCAACGTCTCAATCTGGGCATCTGAGATCTTCAGCTGCTGTGTCGTTGTAATCATCTTTGATTGCATCTCTTGAAAAGCCTGTAGAGGGTATGAAGTTTTATTGTGAAAAAGACATACATGCCCTGCTTAATCTCTAATTTGTGATCATGTCTACTTGCAGATTTACAAAAAGGGCCTATTGTTCAGTAAATATAACTTGGGATGTTGCGTTAGCTACTAAAATTATTAATAACACAATCCTGCAAATATTTGACAGAGCCTCATGTTCAACAACTGAAATAATTCACAAGCATTACAGTGGTCATGCAGATATTAGCCCATTGCTCAGAAACCTGTAGAATTTGGAAGCTGTTTAGGGCTTAGACCTGGGTATCGTGCTGGAGTATCGGTGGGAGTGGGGGTGATGGACAACAACAGATTGCGTATAACACCCGATAGAAGTAGAGCAATCGAAAGTTTGCATTGTTGGTAGCAAGTAAGCCTGGTAAGAAATCATTTCTTTACACAGACAAAGGTAGATGTATTATGGTTATAAAATTGTACAAAATGATAAATTCAATGATATACGACTTTCTTTGTGGACACATAGATTTGCCTTTTTCTGACTTTAGTCTCAGACTCTCAGTGGCATTTCGCCATGATACCATGCGTTTTCCGTGGAATCATCTTATTTTCGCCTCTTAACCACTGTTAAATAAATTCCCAACTTCAGCTGAACAGGAAAATGTAATATAGACATCAATGGTTTGGACATCACAAGGCAATAGATATAAAATTACTATGGTAACAGGTTCACTAATAACACTGCCAGTCAAGTCAATACTTGATATTACTTATGATCGAAAATTGGACATAAAGGAAAAATACTAAATAATTCCCTTACTGATCGACCTTCAAAAACTAAAGTTGAACATATGTAAACCTTAGATGAGTATTTAGATCATCCCTCATGGATCATTTACAGTGGAGATAGACATTACCTTTTTTAGTTCCATGTCGACTGCAAGTTGCGAAGGATGAGTGGCCATGTTAGGAAATTCGTCAGCGGGAGAACTCAGTACTTGAACCTAACTCAAAATGAAACTACATCACATAAATTACTTGCGCATGTTTAGAGCAACACCTGAAGCGGTAGTACTGTACATATATCTTTAGAAACTAGCAATGTATAGCGATTTTTTTTCCTGCATGGAGGAACCATTTCATAAGTATGTATAATCCTTTTGGATTATTAACGATCCCTAGAAACGGCAGGGGAGGTAACTTTCGTATGAAGAAGTTCGCTCGTGAAATGTCGTGATGTACTCGTTGAAATCACGTTCGAATCAATTTATTTTTTCACTGCCGTTCCCCTTATTAGGCGAACCGGTTTAAACAGGTGGTACATCTTTCAAGGTGTTTTTTAACATTGTCACAGTCATTGGTATCATTTTTTCTCATTGTCACGACGCATCATGTCAATTTTAATAAATGCATGGATTGTCTTGTCCGGACTCAATTATTTACACACGGCCGTCATATACCTGGAAGTATTGTTTAGTTCGGCGTTAAACAACAAACAAACAAACGTTGTAACGGCATAATTGTCACAGCAAATTAACTGGACTTCTCAAACCACTGGTCCATGATCAGCAGAGCACAAGCAGGGTCAGCATCTGGGACAAAGAGAGAGATCACCATCCTTGAACACCTGCCAGATTTCGAAGATTTCATCCTGCCTGGGGACCGCCTCCGTGGTCTAGTGGTAGAGCGTCCGCCCGGAGAGCGGAAGGTCCGGGGTTCGATCCCCGGCCGCGTCATACCAAAAGTCGTTAAAAGATGGTACTTGTTGTCACCCTGTCTGACGCTCGGCATTAAGGGGCTAAAACAAGGACTGGTCGGCTCGGAGTCAGTATACTGTGTCTGAGTGTGGTATTCATGTTAAACTACGGCATGGTATCTCAGTGGGCTAGCACAATAAATCGTCATCAGTCCGGACTAGTACAAGCAGCCACTCAAACACATACACGTGCATGCACGTCGCTATATGAGTGCAATAATCTTGGACGCGACGTTAACCCCCATTCCACCCATTCCACCTCCACCTCATCCTGCCTGGATGTCGACTTCCTGATGTACGATCGGAGTCGGCCCTCCTGGATAAAACCACTGACTACTCATACTTTTTAAAAGTGTTCTAGATAATTGTCGGTCAGTAGCAATCTGGATGTGTCTTTCGCCTTTGTATGTATTTGTTTGTTGTGTGACGCTACACTCGGCAATATTCCAGCTATATGGTGGCGGTCTGTAAATAATCAAGTCTGGGCCTGCCAATTCAGTGATTGATATCATGAGCAACGATCTACATAATTGGGATACGAAGACATGCATCAACCAAGTCAGCGAACCTGACCACCCAATCCTCTTTGTGAGTGATGTCGGCACGGGCGATGGCGTCCGGAAGGAGATGATCGCCAGTCAGAAACTTTGTGTTTGCATGTGAAACCTTTGGGTGTTATTTCACTTACTGCTTGCTTTTAGTAACAAAATAGAGAGCAAATAGATTTCGTAACTGCCGTTTTCGCCTCGAAATAGTAGACGTTTGGTCCTGGGCAAAGTTCCGTTTTCGCCAATTGGACATTATCTTTTAGAATGTAATAACGATAGAACGATAATAAATTGGGTTTACTACTATGTGATAGCCAACCTCATAAACACACCGGGACCGCCTCCGTGGTCTTGTGGTAGAGCGTCCGCCCGGAGAGCGGAAGGTCCAGGGTTCGATCCCGGGCCGCGTCATACAAAAAGACGTTAAAAGATTGTACTTGTTGTTACCCTGTCTGGCGCTCGGCATTAAGGGGCTAAAACAAGGACTGGTCGGCTCGGAGTCAGTATACTGTGTCTGAGTGGGGTATTCATGTTAAACTGCGGCATGGTATCTCAGTGAGCTAGCACTATAAATCGGCATCAGTCCGGACTAGTACAAGCAGCCACACACACACATACACGTGCATGCACGTCGCTATATAAGTGCAATAATCTTGGACGCGACGTTAAACCCAATTTCACCTCACCTCACATAAACACACCGAGCCAGTTTAAGGACTGTTTGGTACGTTCTGCAATGGCAAGAGCATGGTTTAACCATACAAACAATGTGTGCAGAGAAGAAGTAAGAGATTGTACGTACGCCTCAGATACTTGATACTGTTCGGACATTTTTCAAAGTGTTGTTGACAAATTATATTTTTCTTAAAAAACATTGCAACAATGTTATGTCTTTTTTCAATAATACAACGCGCTAATACTGAAATCAGAGTTGTCGGTGATAATAGAAGTCTTTTATTACGATTTACAGATTGTTGTGTTTAATTGAAACTTGTTACTACAACTGCGGCAGAATGACAGTATATCTCAACACATCAAATTGTTGCTAGATGTCTATAGGTATTCACTGCTCATGGAACCGTACAAAATAAATACGCAATTGAAAATATTTACTCACGTTTTATGATATTTTCTGTACTCGATGGTGATCACGATGGCTAGCTACGTGATCTGTACGATGGCTATCATGATGCCCAGAAAGCAAATGCAGCATCTTGCAAATCCAGAAGTAAGTGAGTGAGTGAGTGAGTGAGTGTGTTGTGTTTAACGCCGCCTTTAACAGTATTCCAGTTATATCGCGGTGTGTCAGCTTAATGTGGGAGGAAAGCCCGAAGTGATGCAGGTCTCAGACGATTACCACTCCGGTGAAACCCACGAGCGCGGGTATGGTGCTGACAAACCTAGAAACATAACCGGGCTTCGAACCCACAATCATAGGTTTCTGGCAGGAAGTATTTCTGTTGCAATTTGTTTAGAATCAAACTCTATTTCTCCTGACCTATGGGAGAGAATCTGGATTGTGATTCTGGTGCGACTAAGGAACGCAACTCTGCCCAGTAAATGGCGGCGTCTTAGACGACTGGGACACTTGTACTCCCAATAAATATAGGAATCCGGATGAGAATATGGTCCAAACAATCTGATTGTGGTAAGAAGCGACGTCGTGGAACTTGCGAGTCATCGTAACCCCAACGGCTTGGATCGTTGCTCAAAATGTTAGTCACTGGTTTGTCTGGTCCAGAGTCGATTATTTACAGGCCACGGTCTTAAAGCTGCAACAAAACAACAAACAAACAAACAAAACACAAATCCACAGGAATGTATCTGTTATTCAAGTATAGCGAGGAACGCTACAACTGTAAACAGATGGTATATACATTAAAAAGTGCACAATAACTTGGCGCCTTTTTAAAACCTAAAAGTTAAAACTAAAGCGACATGAAAAAAATATGTTGTATCATATCAATAATAATTTATACACTTCACTTACTCTGTACTCATGTTTGTTAGGTGGTCACGGAGCGTAAAGAGTTACTTCCCTTTGTCCTCCATACACCTCTACTCCAGCGCATATCTTCTCGTGTCCATATAACCACGATTGAATAGTGGAGTCCAGGAAAAAGCGTTCAATACGACTCATTGCACAGTGCAGACGTCTGGTGAACACATTTTAGAAGGAGCCCAGTCTTCACCAGTTTTAGCCACGTTTCTCGGAACGTAAAGCGAAACTGCATGTAGTCGCCACGTTTTACTGTATAGATTATTGTTATAAGCACTGACTGACTCAGTCGAACAGCAGACAGGTAAGATGTCGGTGACACAGTTTTGTTTTCAGCAAATTTAGTTAATATTTCATTCCGATATAACAAGAGATGATCCTAATCATTACATCGCTTGAGAATCATGTCGCTGGTTGCCGTAATCAATGTTCAAGAGGTGACTATGCTTGTCTTTTAATTAAGTGGCGACTAACGGGATCGGGTGGTCAGGCTCGCTGACTTGGTTACTGCATGTCATCATATTCTGATTGCGGGGATCGATGGGCATGAAGTCAATCACTGGATTTTTGGGCCCAGACTCGATTATTTATAGACCGCCGTCATTATAGCTGAAATATTGCGGAATAAAGCTTGGGTGCGGCGTTAAACAACAAACAAACAAACAAACAATCAAACAATCAAACCATGCTTTGAGCAGTAATTCGGTCATAGCACGAGGTGTCAGAGTAACGGCAGTAGACGTTTACGTCTTCAGTGTAACCTACACAATACAACAACAATGATCATATCAGCACAATTCTGGTATTCGAACCTACGATGTTCAGATTCTGGCACGACTAAGGGACGCAACTCACCGCGACCCTTGGTTAACAGTTCCCCTATTACAAGATAGGCAAGCAAGGGGAGCGTTTTCGGTAAAACATCTACATCTTGCGTGTGCACTTTTATTAATTTTGTCAGTGTACATGTGGTATGACATAACTTGTCATCCCTTGAAGTGACGATCTGTAACGATTGGGAGTCTGTGTAGTATAAGACATCATTAATTTAGTTCCCTTTTCAAGTGACGCTCTGTAACGACGGGGAATTTGTGAGGCGTGAGACATTAATTTAGTTCTCCCTTCTTTTGACGATCTTTAACGACTGGGAGTCTGTGTGGAATAATACATCGTTAATTTTGTTCTCAATTCAAGTGACTCTCTTTAACTAAAGTGGCTCTGTATGGTAAATTCATAATGTGCTCAATGATCAAATGGCGCTCAGGTGCTCTCATATAGTCTCTGACTTTTACATACATTTCGTCACTTTTTTTTTATTTCAGAAGAAATACTCGTATCTAATGTTTTATTTTATTTAACAGGACATGAACCCTCTTGAAGACACAGCGAGCTCCGGTAAGACCAAACATTTGGAGATTTTACAACACGGGGCACGGGTGGCCCAGTCGCCTGAGGCCCCGCAATTCGCTTTGTAAAGTTGCGTCCTTTGGGTACGCCAGAAAGCTAAGATTGTGGGTTCGCATCAACTGCGATTATATTTCTAGGTTTGTCAGCACCAGAACCGTGCTCGTGGGTTTCGCCAAAGTGGTAAACGTCTGAGACCTGCATCACTTTCCTCCCCCACAAAGCTGACACGCAGTGATATAACTAGAGTACTATTAAAAGCGACGTTAAACCAACTCACTCACTCAATTATTCACTCATTTCCCAGCTAACAATTTCACGTTGTGACAACGTTGTGATAACGTTGTGTTTACGTTGTGGTAACGTTGCGAATGTTACGTCCATATAACGTTATTCTGTGGACTTCCATTTATGTTGTCACAACGTCATGGCCTAACGTTGTGTTACGTCATATTCACGTCGTGACAACGTTGTATTTGACGTTGTGGGAACGTTGTATTTGACGTTGTGGTAATGTTGTATTTTACGTTGTGGCAATGTTATAATAATGCGTCCCTACAACGTTATTCTGTGTACTACCATGGACGTTGTCACAACCACGTGAAATAACTGTGTTACAAGGATGAAATACGTTGTGAACATTCCCCACTAAAATGTTGTAAAAACAACCCAAAAACATGTTCCGGAAATGTTTTAGTATATGCTTTAGTCACGTCAATATGTATGATTCGAGATACCTTTTACCAATGTTTTAAAACCAGGGCGTCGAATAGCCTAGTTAACAGTTAGATCTTGCCTTGCTGACAATGTTCAAAAAGTAAAAACACCACTGAGCTGTTAACTAGATACATAAGACTATAACAAAGGCAGACACCATTACCCTTTAGGCAAGTACTGCAGGAAACAAAATAAGAATGGCAGACATTGTAAGGGGTTGACCATATGATAGTTTCTTGGGCGGGTCGGGTCCTGGAATTTTATCGAAAAAATATATTGTCACCGAAAATTCTTGACAAAAATAATTACGGTTCAGACTGGTGAAAAAAAATGCCTGCCACTAAAATGTAGTTGCAAGGTGTTTATCTTCAGGCTCAGAGTTAAATAAAATCACATATCTGCTTTTGTAGCTGTGACCGAAAACATGTAATCTCAATAGAAAAGTTCCAGGTCCCCACCTCCTTGAATATTAAATGGTCGGTCTCTAATCAAGTCCAAATAGTATACTTCAACTTTCAGTCATGCGACGGCATCATTCAACAAAGAACTCCAAGACACATTTGTGTTGATATTTTAATATTTTTAGATAATTGAAAATCTATACACTTTTCGAAATTATTGAATGCCAGAATCTTCTCTCTTTGGTGTTCACTTCCACTTCCCTGAAATACAAACAGCTTAATAAATCTCGAGCAGGTATTTGAAAGATTTTATATGACGAGAAACATTCATTTGGAGATAAGGCTTTATCAATATTCAAACAATAATGTAGGCCTATAATGCAAGTGTCTGATGGAAACACATTTTAACATTCATTCAGAGACATCAAGAATCAGGTTGAATACAAAACGTGGTACGAGCATAGATTTATATAAATAGATTTACATTCTTAGCATTCGTTTAAAGCACACACAAAAACCAACCAATTAACATGGATATAGACAATGGAATGTAACTGCAAACAATTGTACTTACGTTAACATAATTCACAGCCCAGGGTTTATTTGGTGTGTTCCTCAATGATTCAACATTCTTGATTTTATCTCCTGGAATGGTCGTGTAACATTTTCCCCCTTGCTGCAACCAAACATATAAAAAAAAGTCAAAACTAGAACTATATTCAAAAAGCATACATTTAGATCTATAGTCTATCCAAAAAGATAACATTCATTGTATAATTGCCTAAAATTTAGGAAAAACTGTAAATCCAAAGTCCCCATGTATAACGTCCGATCGGAAATATCTCAGGCTACAGATATAAGTAACAAAATTATGAGTACCATCATAAAAAAACATCTAATGTAATTTGGTTTCCATATAGATCTACACCGGTCTGACAAACCGGTCAGGCAAACCAGTGATTGTTATAGTGAGCCACGTCTCACAACCTCTGTCGGAGTACAATGACACACAATCATGTTAGTACAAACATATGGCTTGTTGGGGACCTTTTCTAAACCGTAATCCAAACGGGAACAGATATATTAGAGAGGCATTGTAGCTAATTACGACTCATATCTTGGGCCCCATATCTTCATCGCAGCGCTGTTTATATAGCTACTGTACGATTTCGTAGCGAGCACTGGAACTTACTCGTTCAGCTTTCGATCACCATTTTATTCTCTCTCATTGTCAAACCAAGTATCATATGAAATTTATTTATTACTACATTTAGTGAACATAATACAGATCAATATCGTTAAATATAATTCTGTAGTATGGTAGCCTACGTGGCAACATATGGAGTTCGAAAACCGAACGAATATGGTTGCTATCAATTCCATTGTATTTTTCATTGGTGCACATTGGCTACACCTATCTCACCTTAAAAATCAACAAACGATGACCAACTCACTGACAATAAATGGTGATATTTAACTTTTGACTATCGACTAGCTTATCATCACCAGCGAGGACAATACCTCAAACACCCCGTTATAGCGCGCGACGAGAGACACGTTTCTCTTTTGCTCGTTTTCATTAGAAGGGCGTCGGACATAGATCTAGTTATCGGAAAATGATGAATTGATTCTTTTTTGGAAATATTGAAAATACACATGATAAGCGCCTTGCTAAAATAAACTTTATAGACAGCACCAACAACCAGATGATCCACATTTAGGTTACTTCAGTCAGTGCTAATTAGGCCTTTTCGGAAACAACAAGTATGTTTCTGTCTCTTCCCGAAAATACAATTTTTCATAACATTGAGCGCTTTAGGCTAAGGCTATAACTAGCAGCCTACAGAGAGTCGATCTGAAAATTCTTCCGTTGTTTTGATTCCCTCTCTTCGCTGTATAAGAGAAATCTACTCAACCTTTCCCATGGCCCGAATGAGCCACATTGTTTCACAAAAATCAAAGTCAGAAGATTAGTACATGTAAACTTTAAACAGTAATGATTTTAGAAATAACAAGGAAGAAATGGCGATAACTGTCAGTGGTCAGAAGGCGATGCATAAGTTAGGCCTTACATTTACAGACGCTTACGATCGAAACCCGAACATAATTTGACGACCACAAAACGCCGCCTGACTGAATTCTGGTCAAACATATACTGCTTGCCCTTGGTAATTACCCTTGGTATCAATAAAATAATAATATGGAAAAAAATCTACTGACGCCCAGTGAAAGTGACCGGCAAACTGCATTCTAAACCCCGCCACTTCTGAATAATACGTACGATACATTTAAATCATTTGGCTATCTGCATGTACAGAAACATATCAACAAGCGGAGACTGCTTTTGAAAAATTAACTTACCTCATCCGAATTAACAGATCATCTGCCCAGTTCCAGTTGCTGCACAATCACTTACCGACTTAGTTTGTAATATGTCCGGAGTGAGCTTGAACTAAGATGGCTGGTGACAACAAATCTTTCGCGACGATGTGACGTCATTCTGACGTCACTTCACGAGGCAACAGGCTAAACTTTTCAGCAGTCCCTCTCACGCCGCAAAAATGCGCGCTAATTGTTTTTAACTGTAATATTGCTTGTGACAACATTTAGTAGACAGATAACTTCGTTAATACATATATATGTTTAAAAAAAATAAAACTAAGAGATGGTAGATCTATAAGTGGTTTCCTAAACATCATTTATAAAAAGTGTTGTAATGTCCAAAGCACAACGTTATCACAACGTTAATTTGCAACGTTGTTGTTACGTTGTGGAATAACGTTACAATGTAACGTAATACTAACGTTGTCATAGAGATACGAAATTACGTTCTTGAAATTTTAGTATTAATTTTTTTAAGAGATGAAAATTCAAATGCCGAATATACAGACAGGTAATGCATTACTGCCTTGGTATTCTGACAAATTCATGTTGAGTTTGATAAAGCAGTTCTATTCCTTTATGACTATCGAGAAGCAAACTCTATAACGTTTCACCGACGTTTCAGAAACGTAGTTACAAAACGTTGTGTGATGTCCGATTCACAACGTTTTCACAACGTAAATGTGCAACGTTGTTATAACGTTGTGAAATAACGTTACACGTTGACGTTATAATAACGTTGTGACAACGTTATTTCACGACGTTACCAATCCACAACCTTTCCACAACGTTGTGACAACATCGTGTGTTAGCTGGGTTACCACACTCTTAACAACCACGAGAGAGCTAGGCATCCAGAAGTACGTTTTGTTTATTCTTATAACAGGGCAGTGAGAAAGCCTGTGGCTAAAGCGTGGGCCTCTACCGTCGTGGTATTGCTGTATTGCTGGACCATTGCCACCACTCACATCATATTCTTATTACGTGACATTTTCCATATTTCTTTTTGTAAAATACTCATTGTCCTGGCGGGGGCACGGGTGACCCAGTCGTCTAAAGCGCCGCGATTCGCTGTGCAGAGTTGCGTCACTTGGGCACGCCAGAAACCTATGATTGTGTGTTCGAATCCCGGTTCGCCCCGATTATGTTTCTATGTTTGTCAGCACCATACCCGTGCTCATGGGTTTCACCGATGTGGTAAACGTCTGAGACTTGCATCACTTGGGGCTTTCCTCGTACATGAAGCTGACACGCCGCGACACAAGCGACGTTAAACCAAACTCACTCACTCACTCATTGTCCTGGCAGTTGACCAAAGTAATATCTTTTACTTTGGTGAAACTCTAAGGGATTGAAGTTGTCGAATTATTTTTGTACATATGTTAATGACGGCATCGATGCCATGCTATTGATTCAGACAAGATTAAAGTCATCAGCAGGAAATATTGCATGTCAATATTCACTACTGATAAACTTGATTTCGACAAGGTATGTATTATAAAAGTAAGGAATTATGGAAGTAAGGGGTATTCCTTGTAACTAAGTGCCATTTCAGTTCAACGTGGTAGACGAGGACTGACCCAGGGGACGAGAGAGCTGTGTGAACATTTCAGACGATGTTCCTGCTCTCGTCTTCACCACCCCAAACAAGCACCCTATGTTTGGCAGTACCGGGTTAATCCTGGCGGGTGGAAACATCTGTTGAGCAGAGAGATGGAACTTGTAGAGAAAGCCTTCTGCAACAATGAGGACGAAATTGAAGCCACGGTGAGTATTTTGTGGTGAGAATTGTTTGTTGTCTGAAGATAAAATGAAATGGTTGAGAAATGTTTGTCGTTGTACATTTATGGTTTTCTCAGTATCAATTCCGTCTCCTTTGAATTCACCCGATGGATACTGTCATCATCTCTACGTAGTGCACTGATATTCAATAGTAGATCAATGTGTACCAGCCTGCTAGACCTTGCTCACAAGCATCTAAAAGAAGATCTGTGTGTACCACGGATAACCGTATAAGCATCTAATAGAGGATTAAAAACTATTGTGTCCTCTGTTTCAGGTAAACATATCAGTGCCGTTTGAGGACATTCTTCACCCAACGCCTACAGATTCAGATAGCGGGATCAGTTTCAGGCGAATGTCAACTCGATCCTACGTGGAGGCCGGAAGTGAAGACATTTCCCTTTACACACAGTGGGTGTGGTACTGGCAGGACAACAATGGAGAGTGGTCTCCCTTTATGAAGGTAATCAAGATGTACTGTTTCTGTTCTCGTGTTTCCTATGTGAGGTTGCCTTACATCATGTCACAGTTTCCGTTCGTCCGTTTTCTGTATTATGTGAATTGTAAACTATTGTTAAGTCATGATGGAAGACCGTTTGAACCGGTTTCTACAGTAGGACCTGATCACAAAAAGTAAAGATGAAAATTGGAATTGATAATTACTGTGCCGAGTGATGACAACTGAATGTTTAAAATCAACTATAGTATAAGTGAGTAGGTGAAGTTTGTTTGAACAGTTTTTCAGTTATATTATGTGTCGCCTTGATGTGGGTGGAAAACTGGAAGTGATGTATAGACGTATGATCAAGGTTCATACAGGCTTGAACAGTCCTTGAATTTTAAGGCCCCTCTTAAAAAGTCTTAATAATTAGTGCCACCCTTGAAAAACCTTGAAAATCACCAAAATAACTTGAGTTTGTTACAAAATGACATATACTTATACATATAACACTTAAATTCACGACTGACTTAATTAATTTGTTGGTTGTGAAAAGTTATATCTTCTAATGTATTGATTTTAATTGTTTTGACAGACTAAGGCTAATAAAGCCTTGCAAATGACAGTTGAAAGCCTTTAAAAGGCCTTGAATTGTACTGTTCCATATCTGACCGAACCTTGCTTAAGCCAAGCTGGTGAAACCAACGAACCGAGGAACCTAAACACGTAACCCGAATCGGGATTTGAACCCACCATCATAGGTTTCTATCACGTTAAGGGACATAATACCGTGTATTGCGTCGCCGTAGGAGACTGGGTCACCGATGCCCACATTTAACAACTTAATTTAAATCTGTTTTGGATGTAGTGAGTGAGGTGGCCTTTTGTTGAATGTAGAAATTTAGTAAATTTAGTGAAAGGCCTCTGAGAATAATCATTTTACCCAGAACAGGAACAATAGAAAAATGGCGGCAAACACTTTGTTCGTCAAAATATATTAACAATGAAATAAAATCACAAAAATAATATAATCTTCTTTTGTTTTCATTCCCTTATACTACAACTCTTTCGTGACTTTGTGAGTGAGTGAGTGAGTTAAAAGTTAACACCAGCAACATTTCAGCCATATCTTGAGGAGTCCACTTTGTGATAAAAGCATGAAACTTGGCACAGTTGTACGTAATGCCATTCCAAATATTTGCAGATAATATAATGCCCCCCCCCCCCCCCCCCCCCAAAAAAAAAATAATAAAAAAATAATTAAATATGTAGGAATGAAATTCTAGCATACCTCATGTCAAAATGACCCACAACCTATATACATAATGAAAAATTAACATATTAGAATGTATGTACCCAACACTACGTCTGTAAAGTAAATAACTTTATCATAATAAACTATTTATCTTGATTTACGTTAATTAAAGTGTGAAAAAAATATACATTACTTTCTTCTTCGGCTTTTCTTAAAGGCCAATTAACTATATCAATATCATATAATAGGAGAATTAAAATAATACATAAATATACAGTTAGACTTTCCGGCTCCCCGGCCTTCATTGAAAGGATCTCGAATGATTTAGTACTAAACCAACAGAGAGTGCCTGATAAAGGCCGGGAGGCCGAAAACTTGACTGTGAATACCAAAATATTCAATTAAGATATTCATACGAATTATTTCAAATTTGTAAAAGAAAACTCTTGTTTCAGCATACAGTACACCAAAAGGACGTTGCAGTATAAATATCAGCATTAAACACTCACAGAAGTTGTCAACGGACAATTTAAAAAAGTGAATAAATATTAGGGTTTTCAAACAACCCCTAAATGGGTGACGTACATATACTTTGGCTTATTAAACTTACTATGTTATTCCAACACAACTATACAAAAGCTGATGTATTGTATATTCAGTTATGGCCTGATGAGACTCGTACGTGGTACGAGTTGAAAGCGCTAGCCTATTAAAACTGTGTTCAATCTCACTCCACTTATTTAATTATTACTATATATATATACAAAAATGAGGTAAATGTTCACTCGGTGTACATGTAATATATAATAAAATAATAAAGTCCACGTTAGTCCATCATCTTCTTTATATCAGTTTCAGACATAGTACTTTCGCTGTCTCATGACAGCTCTTCAGTGTAACTGACAATGACATATAATATGACGTCATACTTATGATGACGTCATAAATTACAACTGTGACGTCATAATGTATTTACACACTCCAGCGACGACACCAAGTAATTTAACAATTGTAGGGAGACATTTGAATTAAAATTTACAGTATTTGTAAAGTAACAGTGTAACATTTACGATTGAAATGAGAAATCTGTTAATACATTCTAGAGTTCAATTTGGGTTTCATTAATTGGATAAACATTTGTTCTTTTTCCAGTCGCAGCTGCTTGTTACTTGTAAACAATTTATAAAACGGAAAAATGGTAAATTTCCCGTTTCCGCAATCATCAATGTGTTTGCTGACACCTATGCATCGAACATCAGGGTCTCTAATCTGCTGTTTGTGTACCGTGACTCTATCTTTTAATTCCATGCCGGTTTCACCGATGTAGTTTTCGCCGCATCCCGAACATCTCTTAACGTACACCACATCTTTGCTGCGGCAGTTCATGTCGGCTTTCACATTGAGTGTATAATCTAGATTTGACCAGGCCAACCAGTAATTCATACTGTAAACAAACATCCACAGGGTTAGATGGCAAGCAATCAATCTTTTCATCGAACCTGAGCATCCCTAGCATAACGACAAGCAAAACCTACTTGGGAACACCCATAGGGTTTGAATATTTATATGGTCTTAGTATTTTGTTTCTATGGATTTAGAAATACTTCTTTACATCTCTAGTCATTGTTGATATGGCATTCATTCATGAAGTAATTGTAATGAAGACATATTATTGCTTGCCAAAGAAGTTTGGATAAAACACGACTCCTCGGTTTTGGGTGAAAATTTAAAATCACATACACACCTACAATTATCCATGTTGATGAGTCGCTTAAAAAGTGGCTTATCCTTTATTTAATAATCCTTCTTGTTTGAAGTAGTTCTCGTGTTCAAATGTCAATATGGAAACCCTTGAGAGTGGCACGTCTTGTCCCGGAATAACACGAGTTGGTCGCTGATAAGTCAAGAATGTCGTGACATATGCCGGAAACATTTAGAACACGTTCTTATGTCATAAAAGAGTGTGATTTGAAATTAATTTACTGAACAAATATATAAAGGATACCACAAAACAGGTACATCATTATTGTTTTAGAATGTTGAATCAGCGTACCAAATACCTCCCGAATACTCTCTAAATATAACCCCGAATCCCGCAAACCAAAATGGTGTTGGCAACCTCACTGTTTCTCTCTCATTGTCGAGGTAACCTTCTGACAAATGTCATGCATTTCAGGGTTTAAATAAATATAAACTGAACATCTAACAAAATATCGAGAATTTTAAGAAAAACAAGACGGAAAATGACATGTTATGCATGTACTTTCTATTCAGTTTCCCATATATGGACATATATGTCCATATTTCAATTACCCATAAGTCTCATATAGACATTTAAGAAAACTGTTATAAACAGAAAAACAATTTCTTCAGAAAGGTATATCAACACGGACATATTTTAAGAAGAACATAATACTCGTTCGAATACTCAATTCGTACACTAGTTCCACTTTTATATGATTGCTATTGTTTTGCTTCATATGCAATTACCTCCCAAACTGAATTAAAAAACTCCGTTGGAACACGGTGGAATAAGCCGTGACAAATATCCCAACACATTTTATGAATTTAGGGGTTTTGTTAGAAATATAACTGAACAACTAACAACAAAACGACGAGAATGTGTAAAACATATATTCAAATAATGAATTTTGACAGAAAATTGTAGACAAAATTAGAAATGCATGAACATCCTACACAATTACCCATAAACCCCCCATTCCCCACAGACTTTTAACAGAACTGTAAAGAAATAGACCAAGGCCGCCGTGGAAAAAATTCGTAAAAATTATCGTACTTGTTAAAACACCCCAAATAAGCCTGCTCAAGGGTAGCGTAGGTACATAATGTAAGGGAGTAGATACTTACGTTAACTATCCATACTCAAATATTGGGGCAAAGGTGTAGTGGGAGCAATCATTAAAGGCGAAGGAATGCGCTGAGCAAATTGCGAGAATAGTATGATAGGTGTTCGAACCCTAAATCACCCTGATTATATTTCTCGGTTTGTCGGGGCGGTGGGGTAGCCTAGTTGTTAAAGCGCTTGTTCGTCACGCCAATGGTCTGAAATCAATTCTCCACATGGGTACAATGTGGGAAGCCCGTGTCTGGTGTCCCCCGCCGTGATATTGCTGGAATATTGATAGAAGCGGCGTAGAACCATACTCACTCACTCCAGGATACTCCATCGATACGGTATGCTCATTTTCCTTTCTTCAGCCGGAGCTTCAGCTGACCCTGGAGACCAAGTACCTGGCAGGACAGGACATCTACCTCTACACTATCGGAGATCATGAATACCGCCTGGACTTTACATCTCTGGTTCAGGTCAACAGGAAGTATCAAACTCGGAGGCCAGTCCACCGGAGACCAGTGTTTGTATCAATTGATGACGCCCGGCAGCGACAGCAGACGTGGTAAGGTGGCGCTCATCGCAGCCACGTGACCTTCTGAATTCTATTCGATATGGAGAACATATTTACAAAGTATGACCACCCTTTCCCGTGATAAGATCAATAAAGCTAAATGATATCCTGGTTTTTATTGGTCGCTAAAATGATAGGTGACGCAATTAAAATACTGACACAACCACTGTGTAATGAGAGCTTGTTTGCTCAGCACGACACATCCGTCAACTTCATCTTAAGGCACAAGTTATCGCATTGATCGCCTATGTACGGTCCATGGCGGGCCAAATTTACCCCTAGTAATTTGCCCCTAGAACTCTATCCATAATAGCGTTTGAAGACTGTTTGATACTATTACATGGGGAATAGGTGGCCTTGTCGTTTAAGGAGCTGAATTTCTCTGTGCAGAGTTGCGTACCTTTTGACGCCAGGAACATATGATCGTGGGCTCGAATCCTTCAATCGCCTTACTTATGTTGTCAGCACAATAACCGTGCTAAAGGAGTTCCTCAAAGTGGTTAACGTCGACTAGAAAGGGACTTTCACCTTGGGCTTTCTTTCCACAGCCAGCTGACACGCCGTCTTATAACTGAAATATTGTTCAAAGCGGTGTTAAACCCACCTCACTCACCCACTCATATACTTGTACAGACCGTAAGACTGTGTAGTTGTTCGCCTGTGATTTTGAAAGCCTCAGTCACTTTAGATGGTACTAGCTTGAGAACACATGTCAATATGAAAGTTATTCAGTTCCAGTTTACTGATGTCCCCTGCGGCAGTCAGAGCATACAGAGTCCCCTTCAACTGGACTCCGCTTGACCGTTACCAGGACAGTGAGATGGTAGACCTTGCGCCCAGTTCGGATGAATATTGTACAGTGATGTCATCCATCAACAAAACCCTATCACTTCACAAAACGTTTGAAGTTAGGCACATTTACAGACTGCAGAATGCTTTGCTGTGGTACACTTACGACTGGTAAAGTGAAACCTCCTCATTTTTAATTTGTATTTGTTTCAAGTTCTTCTTCGTAGGATTCTTTAAGAGCACTTTGGTTATATTTATACCTTTTGTGTTCATTTGTGTCAAGTGCTCCTGCGTACGATTTTAGTTTGAGCAGTTGTTAATGTTAAGCCTATTACAATAAAATATAAGCATATATATTACATTTAGATACACTTTATAACTGGTTCCATTATCCATACTGTTTGCGTTGTACAGATGCCTGTAGAAATGTCACTGAAGCAGGACGTCCTAAATGATATGCTATCACTGCGATGTTTCAGCATGAAGAAGACACTTCAGATGTCCAATGACCAGGTAAATATAGATGAGCGACAGCTCTTCCACGGCACAGACACCATAGACGTGGTCAACGACATCTGCATCAACAACTTCGACTTCAGAGTCAGTGGCAAGAACGCCACGGTGTACGGCAAGGGGGCGTATTTCGCCCGGGACGCACGTTATAGCCATCTCTACACCAAGGGCAGAAGACGGTATCTGTTCCTGGCTCGAGTGCTTGTGGGAAAATACACACTCGGAGACAGCACGTACACAAGACCGCCACGGAGAAAAGGTCACGTCCGGTATGATTCTTGTGTAGACGACAAGAAGAATCCCTCAATATTTGTTATATTTGAGAGGAATCAGTGCTACCCTGAGTATCTTGTCGAATACAAGGAAATATCTGTTGAAGCAGAGAGTACATTAACAAAACGATCTATCCGCAGTGCAACAATGTCCCCTCCTGCTCTAAGTACGTCAAAAACCACGAACGTCCGTCATCTACGTCCGAGTACACCGCCTGTTGTCAAGACTCAAGCTGGGTATTTGACAATGGACTATAGCTGGACACCATCAAAGACCTTACCGACCTCTATTCCAACGTCTTCAGGGTTTTCAAGAAACGTCCGTCATCTACGTCCAAGTACAGAAGCTGTTGTCAAGACTGAAACTAAATCATTAACTCTGGACGGGACATCATCAAAGACCACCCCGACCTCCATTCAGCCTTCTTCTGTGCGGTCAAGCTTCGTCCACGATCTTAGTCCAAGTACAGAGGCTGTTGTCAAGACTGAAGCTGAATCATTAACACTGGACGGGACATCATCAAAGACCACCCTGACCTCCATTCAATCTTCTTCTGTGCGGTCAAGGTTCGGCAATGATCTTAATCCAAGTACAACGTCTGTTGTCAAGGCTGAAGCTAAATCAGTAACACAGGACTTGTACGGAACACCACCAGAGACCAACCTGACTTCCTTTCAGTCTTCTTCCGCGCGGTTAAGCTTCGCCCACGATCTTAGTCCAAGCACAGCGGCTGTTGTCAAGGCTGAATCTGAGTCATTAATTCAGAATTTGGGCGGGACACCATCAAAACCCACCACAAGCTCCTTGGAATACATACGCTACTTCCATCCCGGGATACGTGCTGCAAGGGATTACATAATGGGCATTTGTTGTCTTACTAAGAACATCATACTCATTCTCATTCTCATGCACACACTCATTGACATCAAATAACAAAAAAACAAATAGTCATCGTGTTGAGTTCTAAAAAGGACACGTCTAAATTGGGACTACTATCGCATAATCAGAAAACACCGTTAGTCACAGATATTCGAGTTCTTTCAACAACCAAAACCAATCAGACAACATTTTCAGTTCACAAAGGACACGTCCTTATTAGTGTCACTATCTCAGGATCAGCGAACACCTTAGGTCCAGATTCGGGTTCTTCAAACAACCAAAATCAGACAATTCTCCAACTTTGAGATGTCATACTGCACAAACAGGTGAAGCCCTCGAGGATAAAATAAGAGATGATTTTCAAAACATTAATGAATCATTGTTAACCAAACTCTCGAAAATAAAATGGAAATTTCAAATATAATGGAAGAAGAAATTAAAGGAATCGGTTAGGAATCGAATTTAGTGGTAGGAGGAAGGAAATACTGCCGCATTTTGTGAGCTGTTCACCAGCAGTGATGCGGTCATCTTAAAAGCGCGACAGGTGACAATGGCTCGGTTTTCTTTTGACTGACTTTCTCTCTGATGTCTTGTTTCGGAGTTCCTTTTCTTGCAGCAGGAGAGTGTTGATCGGCAACTGCTCCGCCTCGCGGTGTAGGACGCCTGTCAGCCTACAAGTTCGTGGACTGTTCTCCGCACTTGGAATTGATTCGCCAATGCCAGCCTAAAAAGTAAAATAAAATCGATTAAAATGTGACAAAGTGTGTATTATAATAACTTCATATTTGCATTTTTCATATATAAACTGATGTGTGCACAAATATATCATATATGAAGTATACCTTCGGCATGGTTGTGGATGCTGAAAGACGTTCAAGCAAAAGATTGACCGGACATCAAATGAGTCATCCACCACTCCTCTACGAAGTTGGTCAGGACTCGAACCTTACCCTGATCCTTGACTCTGGTGGGTGGGATGTGGTTGTGGTAAAGGAACGACAGTGACCTGTTTACACCGCGGTTGTTCATGTAAGCAGTCTGTAAAATACATTATTTTTCGTGCTAATAAGTTTATTTAAGATTTATTTAAGTGTTAAAATATGCATATAGATACTACAAAGTCAGATGTATTTATACACCTACCAATAAGCAAAATTCTTAAACTTTTCTCCAGATAGCCTGGGTCAGATGAAACAGGCATCTGGGATCATTATATGATGGAATAGAGAGTTTTGAAAAGTTGATATTAGAATTATCCGGTACACGGCACTGTGATCAGCTGGGGTTGAGGTCTGTAGAGTGGAAGACAGGTACAGCGTTAAGTAAACAACGGTAATTTCAGTCCAGATTCTGTCTGAGGTGGTTCAACGACATCTATGTCATGTGTTATTTCAAATTCACCTTCAGCATCAACTTTAGTTTGTTCCTAGAATCTACTGCTTTCATGAACTGGAATCTCCCTACAATGTTTGCAAAGAAAGGTATAGGCTATTATATGTTCGCATTCTCCGTGGTAACATTGTCGCAACCATTACCTGGAAATGGTTGACTGACAACGAGAGACTGTCTCCTGGCAGTTTGCACACTTCGGTCTCATTGTGAAATGTGTTGATGATAAGTTACTGTTTTGTTGTTGTTCCATGCTTATAATAAAATTACTATGAAGCAAACCATTTTCATACGTTTTTTTACAATCATAATCAAGACTGGATAACTTCATATCGCATTCTTCACAACCATGAAGCATTGTGACTTATCATTTAGAATTGCTCGGTTTGTTAGTTGTTTGGTTGGTTTGTTGATTAACGCCGAACTCTGCAATATTCCAGTTATGTGACGGCGGTATGTAAGTAATCGAGTCTGGACCAGACAATCCAATTATTAATATCATGAGCATCGATCCACGCAATTGGGATCGATGACATGCATCGACCAAGTCCGCGAGCCTGACCACCAAACTCCCGTTAGTCGCATTTATTACACACGGTAATTGTAACCTGAACTTATTTGATAACTGTCTTTATATTTCTTTATTTTTATTTCTTAATTGACCTGCCTTTGCATGTGCAGATAACGATCACGTTTTCGCGAACACCTGGTATCACTGTTTGATACATACATACTCATGATACAATCGGATTCGTACAATGGAGATGTCTCATGAGTGAGTGAGTGAGTGAGTATGGTTTTACGCAGATTTGAGCAATATTCCACCAATATCACGGCGGGGGACACCAGAAATGGGCTTCACACATTGTACCCATGTCGGGAATCGAACCCGGGTCTTTTGCGTGACGAGTGGCCGCTTTAACCACTAGGCTACCCGACCGTCCAGATTTCTCATGAACATGGAAAAGGCTTTTGTCATTTTTTTTTAAAGGGAACCCTCTTACAAAAATTAATTTTTAATAATCCTAATTAACGAAATGTAGTCCGTTGTTTACATGAAGACGTATTTTACAGCAATCGCCCGGGAAGAGAATGTTACGACATATACCACAAACTGTTTATATATGTTTGGACATCCGCGTGGCTATAGTTTTATCAACGATTTCAATAAGAATGGACGTACATTCATAATCAATGCGTCTTTATCTGAAGGACATGAGGCAAATGTTATATCATAGTGCCGGGTATTTGATAAGACAGTGGTACTCTCAGGAATGGTTCAAGAGATTGAAAGAGTTTTTACCCATAATCTCTACGGTCAAAAAGGAAAGCAAGACATATCAATGTTTTCCCTCTTATCTATCTATCTATCTATCTATCTATCTATCTATCTATCTATCTATCTAATCTAATCTAATCTAGTCTAGTCTAGTCTAGTCTAGTCTAGTCTAGTCTAGTCCTGTCTGTCTGTCTGTCTGTCTGTCTGTCTGTCTGTCTGTCTGTCTGTGTCTGTCTGTCTGTCTATAAAACAAATACGTATTGTCTGTTGTGTTTAACGAACGCCGTGGACTTTCTGGAGATTTGTCCTGGCAAAGATTCAGACTGTTGGATATTTACTTTCAATAAAATATCTTATAATTAGTTTATTGATACTGCAAATTGACTTAACTATATTATACAGTTAGTTAGTGAGTGAGGGAGTTTAAAGCCGCTGTGAACAGTATTCCTGTTATATCACGGCGTGTGAGCTTACTGTGGGACAGACGTTTACCACTTTGGTGAAACCCACGAGCACGGGTATGGTGCTGAAAAATCCGGGACGTGTCCAAGGGACGTAACTCTGCACACCCGTGTCCCCGTATTCTAAAGAGTTTAATGTGATACAAATATAGGGCTTGGTGTCCAGTCGTCTAAGGCGCCACAATTCGCTGTGGAGAAGTGCGTTCTCGATACTTGCCAGAACCCGATGATTGTGGATTTTCGAAAATTTATGGTAGAAATTGAAGGAACTTTACTGAATATGACAGGTCACTTTTCATCATGATGCGCGATGGTTCGCCATGCTTTATAACCTTTACACGGAGCTAAAATACATCCACTGACACTGACACTTACGTTTTCAATGAAACAATGTGAGTGGCGTATGCTTCTGGTAGGGCACTCCCGGTGTCATCCCTGATTTTCAGTAATCCCTACATCTAATTTTCATTTTTTGTATTGCTCTTTGCGCCGTATGGAATGTATTCCGGCAGATAATCGAGGCATATCATTTTCTCATTAGCTCTGATTCGTGAGGCTTCTTGGTAACTCCAGGCACCTCATGGTAACTCCAGGTGACTTTCTTGTAGCTCCAGGCACTTCCTGGTCACTCCAGGTGACTTCCTGGTAACTCCAGGTGTCTTCCTGGTAACTCCATCAACCTCTTGGTAACTCCAGGTGTCTTCCTGGTAACCCCAGGCACCTCAGGGTAACTACAGGCAACTTATGGTAACTCCAGGCACCCCACTGTAACTCCAGGTGTCTTCCTGGTAACTCCAGGTGCCTCATGGTAACCCCAGGCACCTCATGGTAACTCAAGGTGACTTCCTGGTAGCTCCAGGCACCTCATGATAACTACAGGTGACTTACTGGTAGCTCCAGGCACCTCATGGTAACTACAGGCACCTCATGGTAACTCCAGGCAACTTCCTGGGAACTCCAGGCACCCCATTGTAACTCCAGGTGTCTTCCTGGTAACTCCAGGTGCCTCATGGTAACCCCAGGCACCTCATGGTAACTCAAGGTGACTTCCTTGTAACTCCAGGCACCTCTTGGTTACTCCGGGTGACTTCCTGGTAACTCCAAGTGCCTCATGGTAACTGCAGGTGACTTTCTGGTAGCTCCATGCACTTCCTGGTCACTCCAGGTGTCTTTCTGGTAACCCGAGGTGCCTCGTGGTAATTCCAGGCACGTCATGGTAACTCTAGGTGACTTCCTGGTAACTCCAGCCACCTCTTGCTAACTCCAGGTGTCTTCCTGGTAACTCCAGGTGCCTCATGGTAACTCTAGTTGACTTTCTGGTAGCTCCATGCACTTCCTGGTCACTCCAGGTGACTTCCTGGTAGCTCCAGGCACCTCATGGTAACTACAGGTGACTTCCTAGTAACTCCAGACAGCTCATGATCATGGTAACTCCAGGTGACTTCCTGGTAGCTCCAGACACCTCATGGTAACTCCAGGTGACTCCATGCTAACTGTAAGTTACCCTTTCTTTGAAAACCACACTTCACTGAAACGTATTGCCAAAGACTCGTGCCAGCCTGCTTAGTAATGTGTAGGGGAATATTCTCAGTCAGCCGACCGGTGCCACATCTTCTGTTTAAATGTCTATGAGGGTGAGCATCGTGTACTTTTACAAACATGTAACCCTTCTTTGGAACAACACTGGAAGAACATTGTCAGAAATGAGGTACACCTGATGATTTACATCACATTCGATTGTTGTTTTATTTCTGTACTGAGGCCACAGTAGATCTATAGTACAATGTACAATTATACAATGTTGAGTATTAGACTAATTTACATACATTATTTCCTTTAAAGTTTTGAATACCACAAATACATCGACATGTTTCTAAATATTAGAATATTAGAACTTTTTAACAAAGAATGAAATGTACATACTATATATTTGGACGTACAATGTAATTTATATTTAGATTCAGATTCATGAGTTGTATTACGGTTGTTGTTTTATGGCCAAACTGATACCAAACTGACCAATACAACAAACCGCTTCCATTTGATCACGCTTGCCTTAACTGTATAACGATTACATACAGTTGTTAAGGTTGTCTCTAAACAGTACACGCTAAACACGAAAGGAATATTGAGAATATTGGAAACAGACAATACGATAGATGATTCTTTACTGAATGCAAGTATGTCATGACCTTGCATTATCAGCAGAATATTTATGCCACGACTCGCCCTCTACGATATTTGTTTATGCAGCATGTAAATAATCGACTCTGCACTAGAAAAGCTAGAGATTGATATTCCGAGCATCGATCCACGCCGTCGGGTCACACAAGTTATCATCCAAGAACCGATCGACCCTTGAAGATCCCGGTTAGAATAGGTCTTCAGGAACCGATGCTTGTCGTAAGAGACCTCTATGCTTGTAAGAGGCGACTGACGGAATCGGGTGGCCAGACTTGGTTGATGCATGCCATCGTATCCCACTTGCGTGGATCGATGGTCATGATATGTATTGGATTGTCTTGTCAAGACTCGATTATTTACAGACCGCCGTCAATTGGCTGCGTAAAACAACAAACAAACAAAGTCACCGATACATTAAGTTCATGTACCCAATAAGAGAAGCTAGATTGCCTGCACACATTGTCCCCCGTGAGTATCCGGGCCAGGATCCGCCGACCAACAATGACCTGACCACCCGATCCATTAAGTCTCCCCGTACAACAAGCCATGATGTATATCAGTCAGTTGGTCCACTTGGTCCTCAAGTCAAATTACCAAGTAGAAACCGGATAAGTCGACATGCCGGCACATGGTTACATTTACTGGGTCTCAAATGCTTTCTTTTTTACATGTTATTTGACACCAGATAACATGATTTCAAAAGAGGGTTTGTTCCAGGCAAGTCTACATTTTATAGCTATTTTGTGACACTCTCGATTCAACCACGACAACCTCTCCTCTTGCACCACCTCCTACTCCTTGATTTGAAAACGTTCTCTGTCCATGTGTCAACAAGTTCTCAAACGCCTGGTGTAATTCATATTGACGGTCACTGAAAAATGCTCCGTTTCATCTAAATTATACACAACTGTTATGAACCGATTCAAAAGTAAACTAGCTGTAAAGTTTTGGCCCAAACCAAAGAAAAGGATCGGTCAAGAATTTGAACTATGAAGACAAATTGTTACAGTCTGACTTGCCATCAACGACTTATGAGGTTTCATTAACACATGATTATGACATAATACTCTACAATTACATTATTTTGCATATATTCTTTTTCGCGTGGAGACTATTCTGAGGTATTGGTCTTTCCTGACTAGCGGATGTGTATCTGTAAGCTGCTGTAACTGCCGCTCGGATATCGTCATCACCCAGTAACTTGGTAGGTCTTTTGACTGGAGCTCGTGTTAAGGTGTCGATGTTGATTGTGGATCTAGAGTTTCCAGGTGATGTTTTCTGATATGCCTGACTGTGTGTGGGGGTGCCACTTGTGGAGCTCAGTCCCAGACTGATCTGATGTTGGTTGTTGGAGTTTGATGAAGCTGATGCTGCAGGTGATATTCTCTGATATGCCTGACCGTGTGTGGAGGTGTTACCTGTGAAGATCAGCCCTGAGTTGTCCTGATGTTGGTTGTTGGAGCTGTAAGAAGCTGATGCTGCAGGTGATGTTCTCTGATATGCCTGACTGTGTGTGGAGGTGTCACTTGTGGAGCCCAGTCCCAGACTGATCTGATGTTGGTTGTTGGAGTTTGATGAAGCTGATGCTGCAGGTGATGTTCTCTGATATGCCTGACTGTGTGTGGAGGTGTCACTTGTGGAGCCCAGTCCCAGACTGATCTGATGTTGGTTGTTGGAGTTTGATGAAGCTGATGCTGCAGGTGATGTTCTCTGATATGCCTGACCGTGTGTGGAGGTGTCACTTGTGGAGCCCAGTCCCAGACTGATCTGATGTTGGTTGTTGGAGTTTGATGAAGCTGATGCTGCAGGTGATGTTCTCTGATATGCCTGACCGGGTGTGGAGGTGTTACCTGTGAAGATCAGCCCGGGGTTGACCTGATGTTGATTGTTGGAGCTGTAGGAGGTTGATGCTGGCATTACAACAGCGGGTCGTTTTGGCCGAGGTGGGTTGTTGGAGTTTGATGAAACTGATGCTGCAGGTGTTGGTGTTGGTTGTGATGGTGTTGGTTGGTGTTGATGTTGGTTGTTGGAGTTTGATGAAACTGATGCTGCAGGTGATGTCCTCCGATATGCCTGACCGTGTGTGGAGGTGTTACCTGTGAAGATCAGCCCGGGGTTGACCTGATGTTGATTGTTGGAGCTGTAGGAGGTTGATGCTGGCATTACAACAGCGGGTCGTTTTGGACGAGGTGGGGCTGTTGGTGTTGACTGTACAGTGATACCGCGATTAATAGTCTGGACTGGCGCACTGGCAGGGGATGGTGCACTTCCACTATATTGTCTGTTTACAGAACTGGACTCATCAACAGTTCCATCTCTGTACTCGACAAGGTACTCAGGGTAGCACTGATTCCTCTCAAATATAACAAATATTGACGGGTTCTTCTCGTCGTTTACACAAGAATCATGTAGCACGTGGCCCTTTCTTGGTGGCGGCCTCGTGTAGCTGCTGTCTCCCAGTGTGTATTTCCCCACAAGAACTCGGGCCAGGAACATGTACCTGTCTCTGCCTGTGGTGTAGCTGTGACTATACTTTGCGTCCCGGGCAAAATATGCCCCCTTGCCATACTTTGTGGCATTCTTCCCGCTGACTCTGAAGTCGAAGTTGTTGATGCAGATGTTGTTGACCACGTCTCTGGTGTCTGTGCCGTGAAAGAGTTGTCGCTCATCTATGGTGTCCGTGCCATGAGACATATGAAGTGTCTTCTTCATACTGAAACAAGTCAGTACATAAATGGTGATAAGATACAACACTTCAATCAGTACCATAACTCGAAATGCTCAAACTGTGTAACGTATAAATATTGAGGTTATCACAGCTGTTTTGGATGATGACGACATCAGGAGATGGCATAAGGGCAGTTGCTAACTTATTTCATTTTACAGCCAGCAAAATACACATAAAGCGATTTAAACACAAGTAGCCTAATCTGAGTCAAACAGCACTGTACCTGCTGTAATTATGCAACAGTAAAGCATTCTGCAGTCTGTATACATGCTTTACTTTACACTTGTTCGATGATAGCGTTTTGTTGATGGATGCCATCACTGTAGAATATTCATCAGAACTTGATGGAAGGTCAACCATTTCACTCTCCTGGTAACGGTCAAGCGGTGTCCACTTCGAAGGGACGTAAGATGTCATGACTGCCGCCGGGGACATCAATAAACTGGAACTGAATAATTGTCCTGTAAGCTGTGAAAGGCAGGCACGACAGACACGTTTTCTTAACCCAAATATAACATTGGATATAACGTTGGAAGTTGAATATATTGGAAGTGTACGTAACACTGCATGACGTTAATATTACGATCTACGCAAGGCAATGTTCAAGAGTAGGGTTACTACAGTAAAGGTTTCAAGAAACGGAACCAACAACATTCATACAGTGGTGTTACATGCTTTACCACGTATAATGAGGACCGCCTCCATGGTCTAATGGTAGAGCGTCCGCCCGGAGTGCGGAAGGTCCGGGGTTCGATCCCCGACCGCGTCATACCAAAAGACGTTAAAAGATGGTTATTACCCTGTCTGGCACTCGGCATTTAGGGGCTAAAACAAGGACTGGTCGGCTCGGGGTCAGTATACTGTGTCTGAGTAGGGTATTCATGTTAAACTGCGGCATGGTATCTCAGTGAGCTAGCACTATAAATCGGCATCAGTCCGGAGTAGTACAAGCAGCCTAACACACACACACAAACATGTGCATGCACGTCGCTATATAAGTGCAATAATCTTCGACGCAACGTTAAACCCGTATTTCACCTCACCTCACCACGTCCAATAACAGTGTCCATGGACATAAACACCGGTCTACGTCGGACTGGCCTTATTTGACCCTACAGGCAACCCACTTATGACTGAGATGTCTGGTGGAACTGTCGGACACCATTAACAGACACAAATACCGGTCCACTGTGGAAGACCTAATTTAACCTACATGTTATGCACTGATGACTCAGATGTCTCACCATGTCTGCTGGCGGCGTCGGGCGTCATCAAGAGATACAAACACTGGTCTCCGGTGGACTGGCCTCCGAGTTTGATACTTCCTGTTGACCTGAACCAGAGATGTAAAGTCCAGGCGGTATTCCTGTTCTCCGATAGTGTAGAGGTAGGTGTCCTGTCCTGCCAGGTACTTGGTCTCCAGGGTCAGCTGAAACTCGGGCTGAAGACAGATTATGTATCTGAACATAGACAAGGTAGAATATATATGGTAGAAAATGGACTATGTGATAACATGATGCATGAAGATAGTTCGGTGAGGTGAAATAGGGCTTTAATGACGCGTTCAAGGTAATTTGCCTTACACAGTGCATGCACGTGTGTATGTGTCTGTTGTAGTCCATTATGTCGGTTTTTAGTGCTAGCCCACTGAGATGCCGCAGACACAGTATAGTAACTCCGAGCCGACAAGTCGCTGTTTAACCCTCCAAATGCTGAGCGCTGTCATAATAATGTTATGTAATGTAATGCAATAATTAATAAGAAGAAGAACCTGGGTTACAGAAAGCCTAGAAGAAATTCATCTCACAACTCCGCAGCCCAGTCAGCCTCCCTCCGGTATACAAACCAACCAAACTGGAGATGGGACTTGCCCCTGGGGGAGGCAACAACTGAAGTCCACACTTCTTGAGAGTGCGAAAGCAACAGGGTGGCCAGAACTACCTCTAGTAAATGGCAAATTGTTGAAGCTGCATTGGGACAAAGCCATGCCGATGTATGCATACCTGCCAGAACAAAACATCGGTGACCAGCTCCAGCGACTAAAATTATATATGCGCCGAGAACCTGATGAGCTAACTGCCAACACTCGTCAGGCGCTTTTGCATGAACCCTAAGTCCAACAGTAGCAGGCCCGAAATTGCAAATGAACGTTCGCATGATTCTCGCTAAGTTACCTGATGCTTACAAAATGAAATTCCTGTTGCTGGCTTCGACGATTTTGAGTTTTCTACCGATTCTGACCCCTCTTCTGTCAATGATCTTTCCGATGATCCTTTGTATATTTTGTTTATGTCATACTATAATAAAAAATCTGTCATTTACCGATTGGGAAACGGGGGCCAATTACACAATTAAACCATTCATTTCCACTGAATCAACTTGATAAATTGAATGACATTATTTCTAATACTCTCAATGCGGACTGCTCTTTGCATGACATTAACTGTTGAGTGTATGCTGCTGCTCGAACATTGGAGGACCTCCATACAGTTTCCAAAGACAAGGAACCACAAAAGGGTAATAAACAAAATCATCCAAAGAAAAAAGAAATTAGATGAAACAAGGAAAGCGGTATCATGGCTAGAACTTGACATTACGTTCCTTAGGGCAATCAATGTCAAAACGATAAAATACACTTTGGAAAAAATAAAACATACAAGACAAGACAACAAGAAAGAAGATACTTGATCAAATTCTTGATTCTCTAAAGGGAAAGTTAAAGGTTTGGATCTAAAGAAAGAGAAACTGGGATAAGAAAAATGATTTCATTAAACAACATTAACTGTTCACATCTCATGAAAAACAGTTTTACAGGCAATTAAATGCAACTAGGGCAATGATGAGAAAAGATCCATCATGGATTCCAGTGAAAGGATTTGGAAAAAGTTGTGATTTATACCCGGCAGCCCCAACCTCGAGGAACCATGGATAGAAGAGTACAATAATAATGTACATGACAAAATACAGTCACCATTGTTGTGTTTCATTACACCGGATTGCCTGAAAGAGGCAACTAAAAAGTCCAAATCTAATACGGCGCCTGGGCTTGATGGTATTCGAAAGTTAACCGATTTTGGAAACTGTTCCCTTGTGTCCAAACACCATTACTTCACTGTTTAAATTCTCTTGTGGTTACAGGGAATGATCCGCCTTGGTAGTACAAAGGCCGAACAATACTTCTTCCAAAGGAAGGTGATTCCCTATTTCTTTACTTAATACACAATACAAAATTTTCACAGCGTGTCTTACAGACATTGTGTCATCATACTGCGCTTCCAATGACATTATTTACATGGAGCAGAAAGGAACCGGAAAGTGATGTTGGGGTTGTAAGGATCAGTTGCTAGTTCAGAAAATGATCCTTGAAGAGGCTAAAACCTCACAGTGTGTTGCATAGGCTACAGGAAAGCTTATGATTCTGTACCCCACGAATAGATTTTGAAGTCAATGGAATGTATTGACCTCCCCGTGCGACTACTTGTTTTACTCAAGTCTTTAATGATTTGCTGGTCAACTCGAGATGTATTCGCAGGGGCAGGCGGTGACTTCAGAACCCATTTCTGTTTCTATTAGGAGAAGAATGTTTCAGGGCGCTTCTTTTAGTCCTTCCCTTGTCTGTTTGTCACTAAATCCTTTAAGCTTTTTTCTTAGCAAAGAGGGAGGCTATCATCCTGGACCTCATCAGTACAGATGCCCAACACCCCTTTCTCACCTCCTTTACATGGATGACCTTGAACTCATTGCCAATGGAGGATCCACACCAAAGAAAACATATTCTCCTTGTCGAGTCCTTTTCTAACGGTATCGGCATGTCCCTTGGACTCGACAAATGCAGCATTCTTCATTTCAAACGTGGCAAGGTAGAAGAGGTAGGATCAGTCAGTTTACACGGGGGAGGAGTTATGGACCATCTCGTGGAAGGTCAGGCCTATACATACTTGGGAATGCAGGTTAGGGACAAACTCAAAATTGCCCATATCAAGGAAAAACTTCGGGCAGAGAACAAATGTAGACTTCAGAAATCTGAACTTCAGAGCTGAACGCTCGCAATAAAGTCAAAGTCACAAATACGTTTGCTCTACCCGTCCTTTTATGTTCTTTTGGTGAAGTTGATTGGACGAAACAAGACATTAAGGGTATTGACACCCTCACACGAAGAATATTGTGTCAGACAATAGATCCCACCACCCTTGCTCTTCCCTTATATTATGCTTATATTTCCCAATCATCATGGGAGGGCGTGGTCTGATTAACGTGGAGGCTTTTCAGCTTAGAATTGTATTGTGCACTTTGCACACATTTATTTGTCCTGTGAAGCATGTCAAGACTCATTATGAAAACAAGGCATTCCACAGTTTCCTTAAACGAGTATGTGGGACATAATCTCAATGTCAGTGTTGATTTTGTTGATGCTTCTGTACGGTACAGATATGAGTGTCAACCAAACAAAGTGCCATATCAAATCGGCCTCTCATGGAGTGGTTATCTAAACGACCACTTCCTAGAGTTTATGTACTGTGTGTTGAGAAAATCAGCAACCCTGCAGAGTCCTTTGCTTCGCTTGCATGAAAAGTTAAACAGAAGACCTTCTGTTTGCTGCTCAAGAACAGTCACTTTCCACTCGAAACCGTCAATATGTGATGTTGAATCAAAATGTGATTTAAAATATAAAGAATATGCAATGAAATTAATGAGGCTGTCCAACACATTGTCAGTGGTTACCCAGCTTTGGCACTAACACAGCATCTTGATTGCGTGGCGCGATCATTTTATTACCGTCTTTGTCAAGCTTGTGGTTTTGACCCAGAAATTAATCCATTGTACGACCCAGAATATGTTGAGGGCGTCATGGAAAATGATAAATACAAAATTCTTTGGAATAGGCCCGGATACAGCCTCAGACATATCCAGGCCAACAAACCTGATCTTGTCCTTTTTGATAAATCCAATGAAATCATTTATATCTTTGAATTTTCGGTCCCTTTTGACACTAATGTGATTGACATGATTCAGGAAAAAACGGAAAATATGCGGACTTCGCCTCAAAAATAGCACGCTTGCATCCCAAGTACCAAGTTCTCCGACTCGGGTTTGGTACCTGTTGACTGATATTGGGAGAGTACCCGGGTTTGTTGCCAGGAACACAGCCCTAACCTGCCAGAATCACCCAAACTCTTTTTGCTGCATGTTTTATTTTAATCTGTAAATATAAACAAAAATAATAATCAAGAAACATTTATGGACCATGAACGTTACCGGTACAAAGGGCGCCCACTCTCTATCGTTGTCCTTCCAGTACCACACCCACTGTGTGTAGCGAGAAATAGCGTCACTTCCGGCGTCAACATATGACCGGGTTGACAGCCGCCGGAAACTATATTTGTTGTAGGCTTTCGATGGTGGATCAAGTATTTTATCGAGGTTCACTTCTGTTGAGTTCATATTTCCAAATAACTTGACCTGAAAGGAGGGAATCACTGTGTCAATGCACGAAGTGTAGAACTTTCGGAAGACTGCAAGGGACACTCTCGTCTTCTTGCAATATCCTCCTAATAAAACGAAAAACGAGGAATCACACATTTTGCTTATTAAACTAGTTTCCAAATGTCGAGATGTCACTGAAAGGTCCCTCACAATATTCAATTATGCCTGTCACCTTTGCGCATCTCCCCGAGGCAAGTGAGTTAACTGACTATAAAAGTCCAGTTTCCAACCTTGCTGAACTAGGCTGGTGTTATGGAGTTACATTTTGGCTGGACTAACGAGTCTATGCATAGTCCAATCAAAATCGCGCACTGAAATCGAAATCCGGTTCGTAAAGTGTCATGCAGATTTCGGTCGACTGCAGGATTTGCAAATATGTGCACCGCTAACTCGTTGTCAACAGATATTTTCTATATCTTATCATGTTTTTAATCAAGGTGCTCACGTGATTTGATGCACTTCGCGATGTATGACTCGTTTGATCACAATATAGATCTTGATTATCGATCGTCTTGACTGGGCGCAACCGTTTTGTTTGACACAAATGCAAGTGATACGAGAGGTTGAATCTGATTGGTCAATAGGAGAGGCATAGAAAGGACATTACTCGTAATAACCACTGGTGGCGCTACGATCGAGCCCAGAAATTCCAGCCTAGTTCGGCGAGGGTGGAAACTGGACTTTTAAAGTCAGTTAACTCTCGTGCCTCGGGAAGATACCTTTGCGTGGATATCACAAGAATGGAAAATTGCTTAAACACTGTCTATTGTTTGACCCGGTCGCCTAAAAATGATACTGCCTGTCATCATAAATGTTTACACTGTCATATGTTTTCTTTATATTTTATTCTAATACAATTAACAAATAACTATGACGTTAAATGACGTTATATGTGAAAATACATGTATTCACGGTGCCACCCAGCTCACCTCAGCCACTGTACTGTCCTCATTGTTACAGAACGCTCTCTCCACAAGTTCCATCTCCGTGTTTGACAAGAGACTCCAGTCGCCAGTGGTGGCCAGGTACTGCCACACATACGGGGCCTTCTTCTGGTGGTGGAGACGAGAGCAGGAACATGGACCCCCATTGTATCGTTCACACAGCTCCCTCGCCCCCTGGGTCAGACCTCGTCTTACACTCTGGACTGAAATATCAGTCATTTTCTTTATTGTTGAAAGGTTGTTGAAAGTTCGTAAAATGCAGAGTCAGCCATTAACAAACCAAAGTATCAACACTAATTGGTAAGGTTAAACATTAATATCGTAGTTATATTGGTGCATTATGGCATCATGCATGCTATAATGCATGCTTTAATGAAACACCTGCGAGTGTGTGATAGCCTCATAACGTGTATTATGATATTTTGTTCAAATCCTAACATTAAGATGAAGGTGAGGTGATGTGAGGTGAGGTGATGTGAGGTGAGGTGAGGGGAAATTGCGTTTAGCGTCGCGTTCAAGATTATTGCACTTATATAGCGATGTATACATCGTTGGCTTTATCAGACATATCGAACTTGTGATTATCTGTTCTTCCATTCCTGAAACAAAATAGTCATTGTTGGTGTCTTGTCCATGTTTAATCAACGTTTGGAATCCAGTGACGTTGCCATGGGAGACAGTGTCCGGATGACTGATAGTCCGGATCGGACTTCATGTCATGGCTGAAAGAAAGTCCGCGATTGACAGCTTGTCCTACCTGATAAGTAGGGTAACTGGCCAGGTGTTGAGTCCGAGTGGCCTCTAATAAATCCCCATCCTATCACTGTTTTGTGTGTGCCAATGTATCGGAGGAACCCAGGTGATCTCACACCCCACATATGACACTAACATCAAAGATTTAAGATACTACCAGAAGTGTATACGTGGATAGTGTTATAGAGATTATGTGGGAGATAAGACTTGATCCGTGCGGACTAATTTTCACATGGGTACTCTCTCTTCTGACAGCGCCATATTTCTACGAATAAATGTACGCTGTCTTAATGCTGCAATCAGCAATTTTTCGCATATGTATGGCGGCGGCCTGTAAATATTCAAGTCTGGATCACACAATCCAGTGATTGGTATCATGAGCAACGACAAATCAAATCATCGTGCATGTAGAGTGTTAAGACACATATGTCTATTCGATTAGTCGAGCTGTATGTATCAACAATCCGATAATGTTTCCAAAAAATCAACCCACGGTATCAGCAATGTGCCTTCTCACCAGTGACTTCGGTCGATTCATCTTCGATGGTCGCCTGGGCAAATGAGTACGTCACACCTCTTCCTCTACCCCTGCCTCGTGCTCTTCCATTCCATGTCCCCCTTCCAACATGGTGAAGTTTGTTTGTGGACTCGCTCATGTCAGTACCTTCCCTGTTGGGCAGAACACGTTGACCTGGTTAGTGTCTTGTGGCAACCAACTATGATCCCTGCTATGACATGAGATGTTGTGTATCACTTTAGTTGCTATCATATTTATACCTTGTTACAGCTGCGGTAACGTAACCTATCTATGTGCTGTTTCCAACCCCCCCGCCCTAAAAAAACCCATCAAAAACAAAACAACAACGAAAACAAACAAACAACCAAAACAAAAACAAACACAAAAAAACAACCAAAAAAACAAAACAAAAACAAACAACAACAACAAAAACAAACCAAACAAATGATTTTGATATTGACTAGTCGCTACACAGAGCTACCAGTGGAGGCGTTTCGTGACAGATATACCATCAAGTGTGCACTTTGTGATAAAAGCAGGACACTTCGCACAGTTGTAGGTAATGGTATTCCAAATATTCTCAGATGTGTGGGGCCACCCAAACAATCCAATATGGCCGCCATGGAGGATGATATTCAAGTTTATCTCATGTGAACATGACCCACAACCTAAATAGATCTATATAGTGAATGAAATGATTTTTTTGAATATATTTACACAACACAAAGTTACTGTTAAAGTAAATAGTTTTATCATAATAGACTATTTCTGTTGGTTTAGGTAATATAAGGTGTGAAAAAAAGTGCATTTCTTTCTTTTTCGGCATATCTTAAAGAAGTGCATAATGAAAGTACCAGTGAAGATACGAGGTAGAATAGGTCTTCAGAAACTCATGCTTGTCGTAAAAGGCGACTATGCTTGTCGTAAAAGGCAACTAATAGGATCGGGTGGTCAGGCTCGCTGACTTGGTTGATGCATGTCATCGTATCTAAATTGTGTGGGTCGATGCTCATGTCAATCACTGGATTGTCTGGTCAAGACTGGAATATTTATACAGAACGCCGTCATATGGCTTGAATATTTTTGAGTGCGGCGTTAAACAACAAACAAACAGCATCATGCTGAACAAAGTCAATTAACTACACCAATATTATATACTCATATGGTAAATAATATAATATTTAAGGAACAAAAATTATGGAAATATGCTATAAATGGCTAATGGTTTTGGTTGGTTAGGAACAATTAAACGGGATCACAGTTGTCACCCCAACTACAAAGTTGCGTACCAATCAAATGTGCCACAACACAGTCACACCTTGGTCTACACCCCGTCTCAGACGTACAAGTACATCTGTTAAGCTTTCGCCACGATTTGGAAGCTTGTGGTAGTGTGATCCACAGGCTAATAACCCTGTGCCGCTGACATTACCTATTCTCTCTCAGTTGGTGTTGGAAGATCTGTTTCAGCCTCTAGAATTCGTCCCAACCAGTGGCGAGCATGAAATGCAGCTCTTTTGACATGTTGATACAAAGCAGATTATGTAGAAGGAATGGAATCAATTGCTCTACCTTTCTTAGTGAATAAGTCTTCGTGTGCCTCATCATCTCTTGTAGAGATACTGGCCCGGTCATACTTTAAGACCACAAGACGCTGAATGACTGGCATCATGTTCTTCACGTCCTGTTTGGTTGGTACATCATCAATGAGATTGGAAGCCTCTGTTGATTCATCATACGCATTCCATGTTCCCCCGCTGTTTTTATGTGCCTTTTCCTGCACAAGATGTCTGGTCACAGCAAGTAATTGCAAGAAATGCCTGAAGTGTACAGACTTTCTCTGGTCCATATAGTCCGGCAAGAACATCAACAGCCAAATATCTGAATTGTTTGCCAGTTCCAAAAGCTACCCAAAGATGAGACACAATGCAATGGCCAGGACAATGACATCGGTGTCAACTCGGAATTAAATTCCTACCATGACCCTAGCAACATTAGACATGTGCAAAAAGAGTCTTGTGTCAGCTTCTTTATCTGAACATGGATGCAGATCATGGACAAAGTGTGGCCCTTTGTTACACAGAACCTGTTTGCTGTAAGTGCATATAATTTGTTTATGCCGACACATTCTAATGAAATAATTTGGTCATCCAAGAAATTAAATAGTTCCGTCGTGTTCTCGTCAATTCTCAGAAATGCCTCCCATGTGTTAAGAATTGTGCTGCTCGATTGAATGCAGCCTCTTACTCCTTTCCCTTGTTTGCTTCTTGCTGTTGCTTTGAGACTGTACTCGTCCCAAACAATGGCATCTCTGGACACACTCTCAAGCTGTTTTTGCAAATGGAATGAAAATATCTTTTGAATAGTCTTCATCCATGTCCTTTTAGGGCTTTGCATGTTCACTATTGCTGCCCCTTCTATGAGTTGTGCATTATCCCTGGGCGAGTATTTGTACTTGTAGAGAGTGAGTGAGTTACGTGGGTGATTTGTGGAGCCTTGGTGGCTGGGCGGGTTAGATCGCTCTATGTGCTCCCATCCCTGATGGGACTCAACCCCGAAAGGAGAATTTGTACTGTACTAAGAAAGTGTTGTTCCAAATAATGTCATTTGTTACATGTAGATGGTACATCCTCTGCAGGTTTGAACACGTTTGTCGAGTCACTGTATGAGGTCAACGGTTAGGGCATTTACATAAAATAACGCATGTGATAGGCGTGTACTCCATTAACAATGTATGGTGTAAATGCCACATGGTGTTCGCGGGCGATGAACGTCTAACCTGCTGTTGGCCATAGTTGACAATAATGACAATGACAACAGTAAAATACAATGGACAGTATTAATATGGAAATTGTATTGACCATGTTATACACTTGGAGTTTCAGGCAGCCTTACCTGTCACCCAGTTGTATACTCCGATATCAGCTGACAAGCCAGGCTAGGCAACAATCACAGCTCATCAAATTACTACTTCGAAACTAAAACTTACCGGAACGCCTCGCTTTGATACAGGTAACTCACTACAGATAGTGATATACAGATTACGTTGCTTTGAACTGTATTTCAGTTTTATCACGGCGGTAGATCAACAAAGGCGGAGAGAACAGGGCCCGGTTTCACAAAGCAATCTTAGTTTATGTCAAAGGGTGCTGTTGTACAAAGCGATCTTAGCGCTAAGGTGATCGTAACTCCCATACCTTAACATAGACGATCATAGCGATAGGGTTGTTTTGTACAACGGCACCCAGAGGAACATCGTTTGTCCTTATTTGCCACTGTCACATATTTGCTTTATAACGGGACCAGTGAGTTAACAATAGTGAATGACTGAGTGAGTGAGATGGCTTGAACACCAGTAAGACAATATGTCTGTTATATTAGCGTGTCATTATTTGGGTTGAGAACCCATCACGAGGCAGTTCATAGATGTTAATTGCGGTGGTGACAGCCCACGAACTCGGGTACGGTGTTGACAAATCAGGAAACATAATAAGGGAGAATGTAGGATTCGAACCCACGATTACCGGATTCTGGTGCGACTAAGGAAAGCAACTCTGCACCGCGATGTGGACGACTGGAACAACTTTGCTTCCAATAGAATAGGGGTTAGAATATGGTCCCAGCAACCGATGACCGTGGTAAGAAGCGACTTCGCGGAGCCTGTGGCCAGTGACATGGCTGATTGTGTATCATTGTATCCTGACGGCGTCGGACGTCGCTCATACTATCAACCACTGATTCGTCTGGCCCCGACTCGATTATATCGCAAGAGGCGACTAACGGGGTCGGCTGGTCAGACCCGCTGAATTGGTTGATGCATGTCATCGTATCAAAGTGAGTGGGTCGATGCTCATGTCAATCACTGGATTGTCTAGTCCAGACTCGACTATTTACAGACCGCCATCGCATAGCTCCAATATAGCTGAGTGCGGCGTTAAAGGGGAAGTGTACACGCAAAAATCGCTTTCTTTCTTTTTCTAAACAAAACGCAATTTTAGAATTAGTTAGTATCTGTGTTTGAAAACATACACTCATTTTTTTCACAGTGAAAGTAGGAAGCTCACAATAGTGTGAAAATGATATGCCGTTATGAGGCCTTCGTTTTTCGAGCTAAACAGGCCTGAGTTATCCCCCTTAGATTATGACGTAATTGGTGCCAATTCAACTGGGTCCCTGTCTATTCTGAACGCAAAAGATATCAAGTACCAGTTTTCGGTAAAACAACATGGCCTACGACACACTCCGGCGCAGTGGTGACTCAGCGTAAAACTATGCTGGCTGGCATCTGAGACGCTAGAAACACACACCTGTACCTACACCACGTGAAGCGGCTCTAACAAAGCATGATGACGTCATAATGTTTATCAATTGGCACCAATGACGTCATATTGCAAGGGGCATAAGCCATGGTGTTTTTGTTATGGAAATAGAACACTTGGTAAATGTGAAAAATATAAATCGTTTTAATGCAAAACATATGTTAATCAATTGTGATATTTTTATAGTTTTGTCTATGACACTTCTAGGTTAACACTTTTATTGTGGAAAAAGTACAAGAAAATTAGGTTCATTTCCGTGTGAACTTGCCCTTTAAACAACAAACAACTCGATTATTTACGGGCCATCGTCATGTAGATGCAATAAAACAACAAACAAATACGCACAACATAAAATCCACAGACTGACATAGAATTACTGGTAATTTATTCTGTGTATTATAATCCAGCGTGACATTTTATGCTGAATGTATCTGCTATTCAAATATAGCGAGGGAAGGCTATAATATGCTTGTACCATGACAGATAGGGGCTTTCTTATATTTGAGATGTTATGTATAGTAAAAGCAAGCTCGTGTCTTATTAAAAGTATAATCAAAAGTCTTATACTGGACATTTTCGAACTCACTCAAGAAGCCATCAACAAATGAATAGACAGTGTCATGTCATAAACCTGTATCAACAGAAAAACAACAATAACGGTAACAACATGTACGAAAAACACATCTCGTGTTGGGTCTGTAAAATGTGAAGTTTTTATGGATGTCATGTGGGCATAAGGAGTTACTTCCCCTCGATTGTTGTGCCTCAAAGCTCTACCCCAGAGCGTCATAACGTCGTATCGACTCGTTGGACAGCGCAGACGTTTGATTAAGTCCGACAATGACAATATTTTAGGAGCTCGGTCTACATCAGTTTTAGCACCTCAAGCAAAAATCCGTGCAACAACACCCATGCCACAACTATACTAACCCTAATTAATGTCACATTTATTGCACACAACTGATTACCAACTGCAGCAATAAGGACCCTAACTAATGTCACGTTTATTCCACACATCCGATGACCAACTGCAGCAATAAGGACCCTAATTAATGTGACGTTTATTCCACGCGTCTGATGACCAACTGCAGCAATAAGGACCCTAATTAATGTGACGTTTATTCCACACATCCGATGACCAACTGCAGCAATAGGGACCCTAATTAATGTGACGTTTATTCCACACATCCGATGACCAACTGCAGCAATAAGGGGCCTAATTAATGCCATGTTTATTCCACACATCCGATGACCAGCTGCAGCAATAAAGACGCTAATTAAAGTCACGTTTATTTCACACATCCGATGACCAACTGCAGCTATAAGGGCCCTCATTAATGCCATGTTTATTCCACACATCCGATGACCAGCTGCAGTAATAAGGACGCTAATCAATGTCACGTTTATTTCACACATCTGATGACCAACTGCAACAATAGGGACCCTAATTAATGTCACGTTTATTCCACACATCCGATGACCAACTGCAGGAATAAGGACGCTAATTAATGCCATGTTTATTCCACACATCTGATGACCAGCTGCAGCAATAAGGACCCTAATTAATGTCACGTTTATTCCACACATCCGATGACCAACTGCAGGAATAAGGACGCTAATTAATGCCATGTTTATTCCGCACATCTGATAAACAACTGTAGCAATAAGGACCCTAATTAATGTCACGTTTATTCCACACATCTGATGACTAACTGCAGCAATAATGACCCTGATTAATGTCATGTTTATTCCACACATCTGATGACCAGCTGCAGCAATAAGGACGCTAATTAATGCCATGTTTATTCCACACATCTGATGACCAACTGCAGCAATAAGGAACCTAATTAACAAATTGGTGTGATAAAGCTGAAATACATGTCAAAGCAAGGTTAGTCCCATGTCATTCCCTTATCTTTGTCAAGGCGTTCCGAGAACGCAAACTCGGTCAGTTTCGAAGAAGTAACGTCATGCGCTGTGATTGTTGCCTAAACTGGCGTGTCAGCTGATGTTATTTCGGAGTAAGCAACTTCGTAACAGGTGAGGTTGCATTTAACTGGTCAAGACAATTAAGATACGTATACTGACCACCATTCTATCCTAAATCATATGTATATCGCTTTCTCGCCTCGTGTTATCGCTTTTTCGTGGTAAAGCAATATCCCCTCTTGACCTATAAAGAGGTGGCGTGTGTTATGTGTTTCTATGCGATAAGAAGTACAAACGTAAAACAACAGTAATGAATTGTTAAACCTGACCTTTGTATCATTAAGGAGGAAGAGTGCATGTTGTAGTTTTCTTCATTTTGGCATACTGAGGTGGGTTTTTTCAGCAGAGGGCCGAGATTGGTTGATACTGGTATGTGGCCCTATTATGGAGTTTAATGGGACAATCAGCCGTCAGCGGGTAGCGAGTCATGACAGTGCTCTCTGAATGCATCAGGTTAAAATCTAAATATATTCATTCAAAAGAAGTTTAATTTGTTTCTAAAATTGTACCCAAGTGGGGGATCGAACCGGGGTCTTCAGCGTGATGAGCGAACACTTGAACCACTAGCTTACCGCCCCGCCCCCATCGCTGTGACAATGGTGTTATCACAGTTGATATTTGTACTTGGGTAAACTACACATATTGAGATACATCCTAACCTGTGTGGCCACACAGTTAATGTTGACAACAATCTGAAGTGACAGACGGACGTAGGTACGGACGGACAGACAGACACACAGACAGACAGTTTATTCAGTAGAGAGGCCACAGGTCCATAATACAGACAATGTTTGATTGCATGAACTACGCATGCCAATGAAGTAATCCATTTAGGTTTCTCTTAGCCGTTGGACTAAATATTAATATAGACATGTGTTATATACAACATCAACGTTTTCTGATGAAATAATTTCAGTTAAAGATGTTACAGTTTGAGACTTTATCTACTGTTTAAGATACATACTTCTTAGATCTACCATTGTCTATACAATATTAAATTTTACATAATCGTTCAGTGTATGGAACATTTGTGTATCTCCCCAAATCAACTTCAAGATTAAACCTGCTACATCTGAAACGAGTCATACATATTCTCAGATGTACTGGAGTGTAAAATATTTTTCTATATTTAACAAGGATTTAAAATGTTTATAATAAAAGGTATCATATATACTACTGATAGAACTACACCATGATTGTTAAAGGTTATCAAATAATCTTTGTTTAAAAAGATGAATAAATATTTTCACAATAGTCAGTATAAGTATGTAAATTGTCTTGACCATGTTATACACTTGGAGTTTAAGGCTGCCTTACCTGTCTCGAGGTTGTGTACTCCGATATAACATCAGCTGACACGCCAGATTGGGCAACAATCACAGCGCATCAAATTACTACTTCGATACTGACATAGTTTTCCTTCTCGGAACGCCTCGTTTTGATACGATAATAGAGTGTGATGGGTTTAACGTTGCCTTGAACTGTATTTCAGCTTTATCACGGATGTAGCTTCACCCGAGGAATGAACAGGGCCTAGTTTCTCAACGCAATCTTTGCACGCAGCGCTTAAGTTCACTATTGTGGTGAAACACGGGCATGGTGCTAAAGAACCAAGGATCATATTCGGAACGAGGTAGCGGATCCTGACATGTCCAAGGGAATCACCTCTGCACAGTGACTTAGGTCCCCATGTCCCCGTCCGAATCACGACAAACGTTAGACTGGATTTTCGCAATGGTCTTGCATTGTGGTTTTAGAGTTCGATCACCGGACGAGTCATACCAAAGGACCGAAAATATCGTACTTGTTTTGACTCAACCTGGCGTTCAGCATTAAGAGGATAAAACAATGACTGGTCGGCTCGGAGTGTGGTATTCATGTTGAACTGCGGCATGATATCTCAATGGGCTAGCAATGTAAATACGGACTAGTACAAGCAGCCAGACACACATAAACATCACTGTATAAGTTCAATCATCTTGAACGCGACGTTAAACCGCATTTCACCTTACCTCATAAAACTAAGAAAACATGATCATCAACTTCTTTATTGCATTTGTAATGACATTTTTATGTAGATTCTAACATTGTCTCCAAGCAAGATACCTGCGGTGAGTGAGTTAAAAGTCACATAGGCATTATCACAGCCAAACACGCGCACAGTGATGAGGAAATTATGAAGAGAGTGAGTTTATACATGCACGTATGCCTGCATATGTACATAAAATAATTTTAAACATATCAACTATACATTGAAATAACACAGGCACATTGTATACATTTTGCATGAACAATGTGATCACAACAACCAATACACTCTGACTAGTTTTAAACCGACATCTGTGATAATCTAGTACTTTTACTGTCCTTTGTCGACAGGTTTATATTCTCATTTGATGTATTGTCTAATTTGATATAGTCACTATATGGCTGAAATATTGCCGATGTGACTTTAAATATTAACTCACTCACTCAATACACTCTGAAGTCCGAGATAAATACAAAGGGAAGCAACTGAAGGGAGCAGAAAGGACGGGAAGAGATCAGTATGTGATTCTATATACAAACAAGCGGAAGCCTTACACCAATGGCCACGGATAAAGAAACATAAACACATTAATAAAGCGTTAATGTAACGCTGCTTTGAACCATTTTTCAGTTATATCACAGCAGGTCTTAGACGTTTACCACTTGGGTGAAACCCACAAGCGGGAGTACGGTGCTGACAAACCAAGAAACATACAAAGGGCGAATCTGGAATTTTAATCCACGACCATCGGTTTCTGGTGTGTCTAAGGGTCGCAACTCTGCACAGTGAATTCAGGCGCCTTTGACGGCTCAGTAAACCCTTGTCCCTCAGTAATACAGTCAGAGAATAAGACGATTGATGCCAGTCGTACAGAGGCGACAAAAATGTTTAATAATTAGATGGTCTAATGAGGTCTGGAAAGTTGTGGGGATATTGCAGCCTCAGCCTCTGTTGATAACGTCTGTGAATTTTCTCATTTTGTAGACTGTGAAACTAGTTTGGAGGCTAAGGCTTGTTTGGATACTGGCCTATGGTGTTCTTTATTGCACGACAGATGGCTGTAAATAAGGTAAGGTGAGGTGAAATGGGGTTTAACGTCGCGTTCAAAATTATTACACTTATATAGCGACGTGCATGCATGCCTGTGTGGCTGCATGTACTATTCCGGACTAATGCCGATTTTATAGTGCTAGACGACAGTTTATTTACATATGAGTCTAAAACTGTCAAACCTCACAATATTATACAGTCATTAGTTTTCTTCGGTGTCCGAAGGAGAATAGGAGACGTTGAAACTCTCCCTCTAGGTGCGGAGGCGAAGAGAGGTTGCTGGTAGTTTGAGGAGTTGGACCTTGGGGAGGTTTGACTTAATGTAGGCATTTCCCTTCTATAAATCGGAGCCGGGTTGTTGTCAGCAGCAGTGCGAGATGCCTGGTTATAGGCAGGCGCCTTTACCCTGACAGAAGATGTGGAGACGGAGGAAACTGAAGGCGCATAGGTTGGGGCACTTGATCCTACAGAGGGGCTTCCATGTGCTGTCATACTCGCGTAACTAGATAACTTGACGGGATGTTGGGAGCTGGACCTGGGGAAGCTGTAACCTACAGATGATGCCGGTGGACTGTTGGTTTGTGCTCTATTTTGGTTTGATTGAGCTTGCAGCACGGCCGCGGGGTTTGTTGGAACAGGAGGAGCAGGTTTTCGCACCATTGAAGGAATTTGAGCGATCTGGACTGGCGCACTGGCAACAGGAGGTGATCTTGTGACATATCCGACATTTCTTCTGTTTACAGACACAGATTCAATAACAGTGCCGTCTCTGTACTCGACAAGGTACTCCGGGTAGCACTGATTCCTCTCAAATATAACAAATATTGAAGGATTCTTCTCGTCGTTTACACAAGAATCATACAGGACGTGGCCCTTCCTCGGTGGCGGCCTCGTGTAGCTGCTGTCTCCCAGTGTGTATTTTCCAACAAGAACTCGGGCTAGGAACATGTACCTGTCTCTGCCTGTGGTGTAGCTGTGACTATACTTTGCATCCCGGGCGAAATACGCCCCCTTGCCGAACACCGTGGCGTTCTTGCCGCTGACTCTGAAGTCGAAGTTGTTGATGCAGATGTTGTTGACCACGTCTAGGGTGTCTGTGCCATGGAACAAATGTCTTACATCTATACTCTCAGTGCCGTGTGACATCTGAAGTGTTTTCTTCATGCTGAAACATCACAATGATATAATAGCTTTAAGACAAAAGGTACACTAGCTTGAAACTGAACTTGTTATTTCAACCCTACTGATATCTACAGAAATATATACATGGGTTCGTTTCGTTTTGGAGCAGCTGCCTTGGATTTTGGAAAATTGAAATAAACGATGGACAAACTATATGCTGCCAATAGGTCATCAGGTAAGTGAGTGAGTTAGTTGGTGAGTTTTACTCTGCATATTCCAGCATTATCACAGGAGGTACACCAGAAATGGGCTTCCACTTGTTCGGCTAGGCGAACGAACTTATAAGCCACTATGATGGTAACTCAAACCTTTAGAGTTCAAGCCAAGGCCAAACTACTTGGATAGTGTACAAAGTTTCATACAACAATAATTATTTCTTTAATTATCAATAAGTGAATTCGACATGCGATATTAGTGATGGGTATAGAAGGAAGCAATGACACCACAGTAAATGAATAAAACATATTCAAACTTCTTTAAAATTTGAGTCTTTTATTTCTGTATTTATGGCATGTACGTTTATGGAATCTGTACATTAAATGTCGAGAGATGTGATTCACAAGAGGCATGAATTCTTGGTGAGACTACATACGTGGTGTATTTCTTACAGTAAAGAAGAACGGCAACACAGCGATTGTCCTCGCCTGTATGTGCTTTGGGACATCGTACATTGTTATTTATTCATTGATTATGGCCTGAACTAGATTATTAATAATTAAACAAAATACGCACAGGTGGATAGTCACGATGAAAGTAGCGATAGTTTACTTACATAAAGCAGTTCACAGTGACCTACATTGTAATTCTGGTACATGTAGATACGTTTATCAATACTTGTCTCTCATAACATAATCCCGGGGAAGGCATTTGGTTTAGCGATAAACCATTGTAAAGAAACCATTAACTTTTCACAGGAACATTTCTTGTTTGCTTATCTTTGACCTTCTTACATGTGTCACTAGAACATTCTTACATGTGCCACAAGAACCTCCCAGGGTGATGTGATAGATGTCCTTGTCGATGCCTAACAGTCTATGCCTACTTTCTGAGGGTACAACTAAATTTGGACAACAAGGAAGTGGTCCGGTTTCATTGCGCAGATCTTGTACTCTTTAGGGCTTCAGGGCTTCTAACCAGGTCCCTACCTGCAGTAGTTGTGCCACAGTAAAGCATTCTGCAGTCGGTATACACGCTGTACTTGACACGTGGTCGCTGACAGAGTTTTGTAGATTGATGACATCACCGTAGCAAATTCATCAGCGCTGGTTTCCAGTTCCACTTTTTCACTGTTCTGGTAATGGTCAAGCGGAGTCCAGTTTAAAGGCACGTCAGTTGGAGTTGCTGTCGCCGGGGACATCAATAAACTGGAACTGAATGTTTTTTTATCAGCAACCTTCCTGTAAGCTCATCTGAAGCTATGTAGAAATACGCATGGTATACAACACTAGGGCCACGGAATCCGGCATCTGTGTTATCAATTACAGACAGCTCAGGCCGTAATTGTGGCTCTTCATTAGGCTATAGGCTAGATCTACCACGCGATCAGTGGCAAACTAACTGCATTACCGTGCTAAATGTTTGTACCTTTGTTCGCCCACTGACCGTGTTATTTCAGAGTTCCGTCAAACGTGCTAATACTATCATACTGTTGCATTAAGGTCTCACGAAATCCGACCAGGGTGCAACTGTGTATAACACTGTTGGCTGAGGGGTCGTGACTGACTGTGTATTGGTTGAATGCTTTAGACGTCCATCAACAACTCTTTCAATCAATATATGCTGCTCAATAGAAGCTAAAAACACTCGAATTTATCATGTGGCTATATTTAATCTGTCATGTCATTTTTAAGTCAGGAATAGGTCTTCGAGCCTTAGATTTGTTTGTTTGTTTGTTTGCTGTTTAACGCCGCTTTCAGCAATTTTCCAGCTATATCATTGCGGTCTGTAAATAATCGAGTCTGGACCAGACAATCCAGTGATTTATATCATGAGCATCGATCCATGCAATTGGGATACGATGACATGCATCAACCAAGTTAGCGAGCCTGACCATCCGATCCCGTTAGTCGCCTCTTACGACAAGCATTGTTGCCTTTTACGATAAACAAGGATTTCTGAAGATCTAATAACCCGGATCTTCACAGGTGGCCTTAGATTTGAGTCCCCCAAACCCTTGTCTGTTTGCTGGCTGAATTTGTGAGCTGTGTATTTATGAATAGCAAGCACTTAATGGGTTTTCTAAATACACTGAGATAATGTCTCAGTTACACAAAAGGTTAACCTGTACATGGTCTGTCTTTAAAGTATTCGTGCTACGATGATCATGTTGCTAATATGGCTTTATTGAATCGCAGGGTCACATTGGGATGTTAGTGGCATGACTAAGTGATTAAGTGATTACCTAATCTGCTGACGATGTTGGGCGTTGTCAACAGACACAAACCCCTGTTCCTGTGAAAGGCCTCAATGAACCTAGTGTCACTGGTCCCCCAGATGTCTTACCATGTCTGCTGATGGTACCTGGCGTCATCAAGAGATACAAACACCGGCCTCCGGTGGACTGGCCTCCGAGTTTGATACTTCCTGTTGACCTGAACCAGAGATGTAAAGTCCAGGCGGTATTCCTGTTCTCCGATAGTGTAGAGGTAGATGTCCTGTCCTGCCAGGTACTTGGTCTCCAGGGTCAGCTGAAGCTGCGTCTGTAGAGAGAAGAATGAATGTGTGAGAGAATGTTGTTTTTGTCAACGAGCTTGAGCAGGCATACCAGTGGTTGACTGCATGAACAATTATCCGCGCCATCGGGTTGTCATGGCACACATTGTGATCACCCGATACACAATAGTCAGCTCTTACCACAAGTTTTGAACACTACAGGCCTAGTCTATTACAGAATCTCAAAGGGGCTGTACAGTGAATAAGTTTGACATGGGACACGGATGTAATGCTCATATTTATAACTGATGTTCTTTCGAGGTCAACACCCAAGCCCCTGATCACAAAACATGTCTGGGACATGTTCCAAAGAGTCAATGACACTGAATCAAAAACCCATTCATTCAGTGATATTATACAGCGTCACTATTGAGGGGTCACACAAATAAGAGACAAAACGTTGCATTTTCAGTTTCCAACAGTGCAGTTCACTTGATTCTGGAATGATCCATTTTCTGCCCACATTTAGCTTATCCTTGTCATGTATTTCACGTGCATGGGTTAAACCACTGGTTGCGCGGGTTTTGGTTCGTTATTTCCATCACCTTCGTTCTTGCTTCTTTCATTGTTGTAAATAGTCGTCCAGTTTCATAAAAGCACCTAATCAGTGCGTCACAGGCAGAAGCAACTTCTTCGTCAACTGTAAATCACATTGTCAACATACTCAGGCTTATTGAGGCTTGTTGGCATGTGTTCATGTTTGACACCCTACATACCTAGGTGACCCTTCTATCAGGACGCTGAGCACATGACAAGCAATCATCCTAGTTACCGAGACAGTACACAGCTATAACCTAAAGATAGTATCATGTCTGGACAATGAACGTTACCGGTACAAAGGGGGACCACTCTTTTTCGTTGTCCTCCCAGTACCAGACCCACTGTGTGTAAAGAGATATGTCGTCACTTCCGGCCTCCACGTAAGATCGGGTTGACAGTCGCCGGAAACTGTGCTGATTGTATGACGTTTGCCGTGGTGGGTCAAGTATTTCTCCAAAGTTCACGACTGTTGATGTCATATTTCCAGATAACTTGACCTGAAAGAAGCCAGTCACAGGTGACAGTTGATATAATGTAACATTTCACGTGTATCTTCTTCAGTTGAATCATATCAAAGGACAGAAGGGAAATAATAGAGAATGGGGGCGATTATGACGAATGGGCCCTGGGTATTTATCCCCAAAGAATGGAGATATGGATGAATATTATAATTGATGGCTTGCGGCAGCAAGGAACCTTATTAATTATAGACTTCAGGATGTCTCAAGTTGGTAAAATTGATATTTTCCTTGCAGTGAACATGACACTTGATATTTCAATGCAGTGAACGTAACACTTGATATTTCACTGCAGGGAACATAACACTTTTGACGGAACTATTGTCTTACAAGAGTTGCCTCCCCGGCAATTATCTCCCCTTTGTCGTAAGTGTCGAACCCGTACACAAACAGTTGACTTTCTTTTTACGTTGGTTCCACATTGACAAGGCAAAATGATAACGGATGGTCATTTGTGGAGTATGTCGTTTGTTATTCTCTTGAAAATGTTTCGGTATAAACTGTAAGTTTCTCATTTAACTCGTCAATCGAGACTGTTTGTTTCGCAAAGCGCCATTTTTGTGACTTGACAAGCGTGTATTCTTTCGCTTCCAACGGCGGTATTGTAGATTTAAAGAACATTTTTGGTTTAAGTTGGATTTGCATATCTTATCATATCCCAACGTATAATAAAGAATTTAAATTGACCTCAAATATTTGTTGTTACTTTTGTTTATATATTTTTAAGATTTTGCAAAAACTACTTTTTAAGTCGCAATTACAAAGGGTGGTGAAACGTCCCTGTTTGTATGGTAGGGAGAACTTACGTTTCAAGGTTTTACATTTGTAATGAAATAATCTAACAACACAAAAAGTATATAATAAATAGGATATTCAATGTGTCCTATATCCTCTATGTAAGTGTTGAAACAGTTTGTCATTTATTGTTTCCCCAAATCGAGGTATATACCGAGAGCTCCAGAACCGCTGTGTATATGCTTAAAACACGAAGAAAAACAATCACATTTACCCATTTCATTTGAAGTAGCTTGCGTAAAGATACCCAAGAGGCAAACAATACTTGCAAACATATAAGACGTATACCACTTTGGTTAAATCACGAGCACGTGCATGTTCCTAATAAACCTAGAAACGTGATGAGGATGAATGAGGGATTTGAACCCACGATCGTTGAGGTGCGCAAGTCTTCAAGGCTAGTTATAGGACAAGTTGATTAAAAATGAAGCTTGCTCTACCCCCATATATAGTGTAATAAAGTATGGTTTTGCCCTGAACTATTACAGTTAAAAGGCCTCGGACTGCTGTGGCACGGTCACAGTGATTTGAGAGATGGTAGACGGACACAGTGGCATGAGAGATGGTGGACATAATCTTGCAATATTTCTGTCCAGGTAATAATATTTCAATATTCGACAAGATTAAAGAAGCTCTTTCACCGAAAATTGATGTGAATGCCCATCTTGCTTGACAGTAATGAAAGAACGATGTTGCCAAGGATACGTTAGATCACGGGGAAGGTAATTTAAACAGCGCCATGACGTCAGTCCATTATGACGTAACTCAAAAATTGTACTTTATCGTAGGATAAGTACAGTCGGCAACATCGATCGTTTAGCGAAGCATCTTCGAAATGACAATAAACTTTCCCCTTTTCTGTCTTTCTATAATTGTTTTAGCTTTGACAAACTGCGTAAAAATGTAGGATTTTTGGAATTTTATTTTGTTCGTTTTGTCTGACGCCGCACTCAGCAATATTCCAGAGATAAGAAGGCGTCTTTAAATAAATGAGTCTTGACCAGACAATCCAGTGGTGATTGACATCATGAGCACCGATCCACGCATTTGGAGTGAGTGAGTGAGTGAGTGAGTGAGTGAGTGAGTATGGTATGATATGGTATGGTATGGTATGGTATGGTATGGTATGGTATGGTAATAGTAATAGTATTACTATTAGTATAGAATAGAAAATCTCTACATTTGATATAATTGTTTTACTGCAGAATATGCAAGTGCTACAATTTCTATAACCTTTTCTTGTTTCCAATTTCTATATTAAGCAGACCTAGATTTAGATGACTAATAAGAGTTGGCGTTCCTTGTCTATGTATTTCATACGCCTAGCTCACCTCAGCTACTGTACTGTCCTCATTGTTACAGAACGCTTGCTCCACAAATTCCATCTCGGTGTTCGAGAGCAGTCTCCAGTCGCCAGTGTTGGCCAGGTACTGCCACACATACGGGGCCTTCTTCTGGTGGTGGAGACGAGAGCAGGAACACGGACCCCCCATGTAGTGTTCACACAGCTCCCTCGCCCCCTGGGTCAGACCTCGTCTTACACTCTGTACTGAAATATCAGTCATTTGTTTTTTAGTTTTTTCTTGAAATTTCAAGATACATACGGCCTCGAAAGATTTAACACGGGGTATTGCGAACGACAGTAAGAGCTTTAAAACCAGGATCTGATTTTAATGAGCTTGATCTAGACCGGAAGTAATCACACCACAAAGCTAACCAATCAGTACTTTACTCCAGTCTTCTCCTCTCATCGCTTTGCTTACGCTTCCTCCCACTGCATATGACATTTTTTGGCGGGAACATTTGATGCACTGCATCAGTGTCTACTTGATCTATTTGTGCTCTGCTGCCGTGTTGATTAACGTTGCAGTAATGCCTTGCATGAACGTCGTGTGGACCAGACAAACCAGATTGATAATGTGATTAACAATCCACGCCGTGAAAGAATGAATGAGTTTGATTTTACGCCGCTTTTAGCAAATATTCCAGCAATATCACGGCGGGGCACACCAGAAATTGGCTTCACACATTGTACCCATGCCTGGAATCGATGTACACAGTTGAATAATATTAACAACACAGATTTTAAATTTGTTACACACAAAAACTCGACAGACAGAATCAGTCCCAGACGAATTCTGCAATTCCGCGATCGCGGCAAGATTTGCAGAAAATTTACTTACCACAGAATTGCAGAGAAATCGCGGAATTTGTCTTTTTTTACACAAATAATACACTAACTTTCATTATTTTCAAGTATTTCTATCGAATATTGCACCCGAATGATGCCCAAACATTACAAAAAACCTATTCAAACATTCAAACAAAATATGAATCCTACAATAAAATAAAATTTGAAATAAATAATTCTCACTTCTAAACATTTTGGTTATGTGGTTGTGCATTTACTGCAGAATTATTCAATTTTAGCCGTAGAAATTTGTAAGTTTAGCCACAAAAATTTTGGACTGGAATTGTTCTTGATCACACATGCCATGGCAACAATTTTTAACGCCTCGTATCAACAGCTGGGGATAGTGGTCTCTGTGTTAGGGGTTGGGTCAAGTACAGAGTGGTTCAACTAGGGGCACCCGCTCCTATGTCAAATACAATAAATAGTGGGTGGAGAATCTAAAGCGACGAGTATATCGTAACCTCGAACGTTGTAGCCTATTTCCGGTCACTCGGGTGTAGTAACGTGGTATTAGGCAGAGAGGATTGAATACTGGACGTATCCCCGTTTATACAGTGTTATTTGAATCTAATGCAAACGGGGGAAGAGACGCCATGAATAATGAATGACGTCATATCGTTGTGTTCTCAACAATGAAGCAATGCGACCTCACATCGCGTCATCTGACCAACCAGCATCTACAATTGCTAAAATGCACGTGCAAATATCGGAGAGTTATTACACTCTATATTTCTATGCTTAATATTGTTCAAGGTTTCTCCTCACCACCGACATCTGTAGATTCATCTCCGTAAGTCTCCTGGGCTGCTGATGACATCACACCTCTTCCCCTACCTCTGCCTCTTCCTCTGCCCCTCCACCGTCCTCTACCACGTCCTCTTCCTCTCCCCCTCCCAAAAAATGGCGGTTCAGTTCTGAAGTCGTCCATGTCAATCGTCTGAAGCAGATATTCCCTGTTAGCAGTATTTAGGCTAAAACATGTTTCTCCAGCATCGCCTCGCTTTGCGTCAATCATTCTTTTTGCCATTTAAAAAAAATGAAGCAGAATCCGTTCTAAAGTGCCTAGCCGTGTTTGTTGGTATTCTTGGTGGGGTAAAATAACGCTTTCCTTCCCGAGCACTTTTGTTTAAAAAATTCCATAAAACAGTCCTATCTAGCTCCTAGCTTTTGAGAAAAATGTGCCCAAGAAACAAATATGTTTCACGTGCAGCCTTATAGAGCAAGGGAGTTACAAACACACAAATTGTCGGTTATATAGGAAATCGGGGCATCAAATCTTGCACATAATGGATGGATAGAGCCTACTACAAAATAGTACCGAACCTCAAACTAGTTACAGGTGAATATATTTTTCATTTTTCTTGTATGTGTAATATTTACCAAGGAATATATAAAAAGTCAAGAAAAATCTAAAAAGGTGAAAGTCTCCAAAATAATGTTTTGTATTATCCTATGACAGGATGTTTGCCCTTTTTCATGTTTCCTTACCACAAGCATTTCCCTGTAGTACTGTACAGTTATATTTTTAACATGATGTACACTGTTATGATACCAATAGAAATCTAAGACCTCCATGATAATAATTGATGTGTTTAAAACATGGGGAATATTTACTGTTAAAATGACAAAAAAAGACACGCCCCTCCCAAGAATACTGGAAATTATTGGAAACGTTTCCAAATATTGTGAGGTTTCTGTATATTCTATATATTTCTGTGAAATAACAATCACATAGGTAACGAAAATAATATACCAAAAGTCTAGGAAAATCTCATTTGGAGAAAGTCTATAACAAACCGTCAACAGGCAGATGAAAGGTTCTGTTTAATCGCGCCTGGGAGTTATCTGCCCTTGGCGTGAGCCTTCACTCGGCAGGACAATGTTTTATATACACACCCTCCCCGATATCTATCTTCATCCATGGGCGGATACAGCTTTTTTGAAAAGGGTGTGTGTGTGTGCACAATTAAGATCTATTTAAAGTCTTTGGTGGTAATTTATACAGAAATACAGATTTGTTTCGAAATAAAAGAGATGCACACCCCCCCCCCCCCCCCCTCTCTCTCTCTCTCTCTCTGTATCCGCCCATGACATATACTAGGTGTTAAAATTACTGACCTAGCTAAATGTCCGTTTGATATTCGGTGGTCGGACAGGTGTCATTTCTTGATACCTGTTTGTTTAACATGCGATTGTGTCATCTGTTAAAATGTCGCTTTGTTCACTTGTGTATAAAACAGCTCCTCACAGAAGCCCTAACCATATGCACCCCAGATCTGGCCCAAAGTACACAGTGGGAAGTTCACGACACCCCACTAGGTAGTGACCACTTCCCTATAAACATTACCATAGGCAATACAAACGGTCCTACCCAAACAGCAAACCTAGAACCAAAATTCAGCTATAACCAAGCTAACTGAGACAAATTTCAAGAGATCTGCAACCAAGCCAACCTAACCAAACTAGAAAATAAGGACCCAGAAATCTACCGTAAAAACCTAACAGACTACATAATTAATGCAGCCAGAGGCATCAATCCCTTATAAAACAAATAAAGTAGGCAAACCCTCGGTACCATGGTGGAACGAGGAAATAGAACAAACTAGACGCAAACGTAAAACAGCCTGCAATAGAGCCAAACGCGACCATAACCATTTACCGGTAGCTCACGAACTGAACCACAAGGTCCAAAAACTAGTCAAAATAGCTAAAACCAGAGATTGGAATTTTTTTTGTGAAGAAGTAAATAACCGCACAGATGCCAGAACAGTCAGGCGAAAAATCCACGCCATAAGAGGCTTAAAACGTCACAAAAAACCACCCAACATAAACAACTCAACCAACCCTACCGAATAGGCAAATAACCTAGCAAACCACTTCTCGGCCATAAGCAGCAACAATAACTTCAGCGAAAAATTCCAACAAAAACTTAAAGCAGAAGCCAAACCTACCAAAGAACCAAATAATGATAACCTCGAAATAAACCAACCTTACTCAATGGAAGAACTCCTGTACGTACTCCAAAATAGGAAAAAGGGAACTGCCCCAGGACTAGACCTAGCATCCTACCAAATAATAAAAACTCCCCCCCCCCCCCAAACTACTCCAGGCACTACTTAAATTATATAACCTAATCTATCAAAACGGACAGGTACCAACTCCCTGGAAACAGGCACTAGTCATCCCAATCCCTAAACCAACTAATCAGGCTAATTCTTATAGACCAATTTCCCTAACCTCAAACCTATGTAAAGTAATGGAATCTATGGCCAAAAATAGACTACAACACTACTTAACTCAAAATAACATCATAAACCAAGACCAAAGCGGCTTCACTCCTGGCCGCTCAACCTTAGATAATCTCGCCCGACTAGAACAGGACATTAAGACAGGACAACTCAACAAACAATACACAACAGGCATCTTTCTGGATTTCTCCAAAGCATTCGACATGGTTTGGCACAACGAGCTAATACAAAAACTTAAAAAAATAGGACAAAAAGGACAAATAATAAACTACATCCAGGACTTTCTAAACGATCGTAAAATAACAGTGGGTATAGACCATACACTATCGGACCAGTGTCCCCTAGAAAATGGCCCTCCCAATGGCAGTATCCTCAGTCCCACACTCTTTAATATAATGATAAATGATCTCTTCGAGGGCCTATCCCCTAAAATAAACACATCCAAATTCGCAGATGACGGAGCCCACTAAAAGTATCAAATTATCCCAAAATCTACTCAAAAAATCCCTAAACAAAATACAGCAATGGGCTGACAAATGGGGCTTCTCCCTAAACTCGGAAAAAACAACAGGAATAGTATTCAAACACAAAAACATGAAACCGGCCACCCCTAATCTTCAGCTAAACAACAAACCAATCAAATCCAAAAACAAACTTAATTCCTAGGCCTAATTTTCGATCAACATCTCTCATGGGATGCTCACGTAAAATACCTAACTACTAAATGCAGCAAAGACTTAAACACACTAAGATGTCTCATTGGCTCCAACTGGGGGGCCTCTAAAGATACCCTCTTCTCACTATACATTTCACTAATTAGATCTAAACTAGACTACGGCTGTGCCATCTACGATACTCTAAACCAAACTCTAACCCAAAAACTAGACTCAATACAATATCAGGCTCTTAGATTAGTCACACGTACCCAACATGGCACCTCTCTCACTTCACTCCAGGCCCTTACAGGAGAAATGCCACTAAATCTACGCAGACAACACTTAACCTTAAACTTCTGGGCCGCGTCCCAATCAAACCCCCTCATCCAAAACCTAATAAACCAAAATATCCGACCTCAAAACCAAGCTCTAACTAGGGAACACCCTCTACTTACACCAATATCCCAACGAATAACCAACTAACTACCTAAACGAACACCAAATAAACAACCTTAAACAAAACTGCAAACAATCAAATATATTTACCCCAAAACTCAAAACCCCCAAAATAGACATATCTCTAGCCAACTCAATAAATAAACAAACCGACCCAAACATAGCTAAATCCACTACACTAGCATACATACACGAAAATTGGCCAAATTGGTGTCACATCTACACAGACGGATCCTCTGATCCGATCTCCAACCACACAGGTTTCGGAGTCCACATCGCACAACCAACCAGAAATACCCAATCCTTTCGACTCCCAAACAACCAATCTATCTTTACAGCAGAGCTAATGGGCATGGCCTCAGCCCTCCATAACCAGCAATCTAAAAAACATTAAAAAAATCCTAATACTCACAGACTCACTAAGTGGACTGCAGGCCCTCCAAAATAAAAACACCAAAAACCGCCCCAAACTCATAAACCAAATACTAAAAAGCGCAAACAACTTAACAGAGGCCGGCAAACAAATAGTATTCATCTGGATCCCCGCCCCTGTAGGAATATACGGCAACGAAAACGCCGACAAAGCCGCTAAACAATCCCTCAAAATCCCTGAAATAAGCTTAAAGCTACCCATATCCAAATCAGAGATCAAAAGTATCAACAAACGAAAAATCACCCCAAAATGGCATAACCTCTATCTAAAATCAAATAGCCAAATTAAAAAAGTTCTCAAAAAAACCTTAAACAAACCAAAAACCCTTCATCCATCAAAAAAAATCGATAGAATAATCACTAAACTCCAAACAGGACACACCAACCTAAATAGCCACCTCAAAAAAATTAAAAAATACGCAACAGGAAAGTGCCCACACTGCAAACACCTAGAAACCCCAGAACACGCACTCATACACTGCATCCACTACCAAACACACCGAGCTACACTACAAACAACCCTCAATCTAAATAAGGCTTTTACTCTAGAAGCAATCCTAAACCCACAAAATCAAATAGTAAAATTTAAAGCCCTAGGCGTATACTTAATTAAAACAGACCTAATTAACCGCATCTAATATCCAACAAACTACCAAAACAAACCACATAAACCAACAATCACACCTTAATCAACTCCCTTAGTCCGCCCACCATACCCCCTTGGCATCTATTCCAAATCTCAAAAACTCCAAATTTTTCTATATAAGCAACCACCAAATTCCCCCACTGGGTTGCCAATTTTCTTTTCCCTTTTCGGAAATACACTAAATGGCCCGGCCGGGCCCGTGTGCGAAATACGCTAGAGTCGGAAAGCGCACGTAAAATCTCCAATGTAAGTAAGTAAGTAAGTAATGTTTCTAGCTCTCTCCTTCAAAATTAAGAAATTGCTTAATGAGAAGTGAAATTTAAATTACCAGTTTAGTCATGCAGTACACAATATCAGGTACATGAAACTTCAATCACCCGAAAACTTTTACTCATGACTGTTTGAAAATTGTTCACTAAATACTTGCTTGAATTCGAAGAGATGAATAAATGGTCGCCCGATCCTACGCAAAAAGCTACATTGTATCTGCATTGAGAAATTAACTATTACATATGAGATAGTTTTAAACTGAGATTACATAATATTATTAGATAGGCTGTATTGTCTGACATATACATTCATAAATTGTGTTGAAAGTCACTTCCAGATCACAAATAAGTAATGAATGGTCCGCTTCTACATCAATATTTAAAATCTACACGAAGAGAGTAGTTGTTGTTGATATTAACTAAAGACAACTAACATTCCGAAAATGAAACAGAAAGTATTCACCTATTTTACTTGAACATTTAGATGTCAAAATACATCGTGATGTATTACGTTGAACTCCGACAATAATCTTTGGCAACATCGCATGTCTATTATTAACTACGATCGGGAATCGTATAAAAATTGTGTGGCAAATCGATAAAATATGGCACGAGAACGTTCTCGTGTTAGTGTTTTCCGACACAAATGTATTAATGATATCATAACCGGACAACATCATGTTATTTAGTAACGTTGTGAGTGAGCAATTTAGAATTGAACGGTTTGAAAAGAAAAGACAGAGACTGATAAACATTCGGAACGTCGGAAGCTATAACCTTTGTCTAGGAATAGTGATAAAGTCCAGTTTGCGAGTAGTGCTATGTTGAGATATTTTGTGTAACCCATTCAACCAGTAATGTTGACTTACTAATGGATCACACTTCTTTGTGGTATCTTCAATTTGTTTGTTTCACGACAGTGTCTAAATATATGTTTATGTCAATTCAACTTGAATGTGACCATTATAAGACAGACAGGATAAGTTGAGTTGTGACCTAACAATCTAACCCCAATATAATTACATGTATGTATGAGGTCCGCGCAGTGTCGCGTGCCATTGTGAAGAAAGGGGTAGCGGGTGGTCCGCGACAAGTAGTACGATGGATATGTGTGTGTCCTGTCTCGGATAACAACGAGTTCAAGTGGCGAGTTCAATAGTACATAATAGTACGTGCTGATGTGAGGTACCCGACGGCTGTGCAAACGGTGACAGCAAATTTGCATTGACAACAAGTGAAAAATACAGACAGACCAGCGGCAATGCTAGCTTTTGACAATCATTTCTTTGGACATTCTTTCTACGTGTAATTAATGATATATAGGATAATAATCGAGCCTAAGAATGTATGTTTTGACCATGCTTACCTAGCTTTGACATGCTTCTTTGTTTGTAATTAACGTCTGTCAAACGAGTTTTAGAGAATTCTGGTATAGACTTGCCACACCGACCTCTTGAATAATAGTCTTATGAGCAACACTGTCTTTTCCACGGGATAGTGAATTTCATCATGACCTGCACGTTCACAACATGCGTACATCCTCTCTATATGTAACAAACCAAATATGTTTGCTCAAATTCTGTACACCTCGTACTTGTCTCAAAAATGTTTTGTGAGTTGGTTCAACTTATCCTGGGTTACCAGTAGGCATGCACCAATCATGACAGAACATTAAATTGTATTTATGGAAAGTAATCGTTTCACTATTAAAGAAATGAAACAAATTAAAATGTACCACACAATTATGCAAATATACTTCTAATCTCATGCACAACTTGTTCCGTTGAACACATATATCGACATTAAATCGTAAGCACTCCCTAAATTTAATACCAGAGATATCCACAAATTATGTATTCCTCCGATAAAATTATATTTTATAACACATCAATGCTAAAACAAATGGGGATATATATTTGATGCACAATTGTCACAGTATAAACCTTTCAAAACAGTGCTGTGATGGATCCATTCCGATATATTTGAATGATAATATATGTGTGAAAACATATCATAATTACATTATCGAGGAAGATTCCATGTGTCACACAGCCGCTCTAGATATCACACCCAGTTCACTTGAGTATGGACATGACTTGGAATTCTTTTGATTACACAACGTACACTTTATATAAGAAAATATTAAAAAATACACAAGCAAAAACTAAAAGCAAGGCGAGTGAATTATCAGTTAATATTTACCGCCGAGTAGGTATACCAATGCAAGCAACTGACGCACTTTGTTCACGGACGGAAATGCATGATTAGCGTACATGTATCTTCAATTAATATGACGTTCGGGTTGGTCTGTGTTAGCTTATAGATATTACTATTTAGATCTTTTAGATTACAAAATAACCTGTTCGAAATATAAATAATTGAACCTTGCACAAAAAGGGGTCCCACTTTAAAAGGTAAACATTAAAACAAATATTAAAACAATTTAAGCGTTCCTAATTTTAATGTTGATACAGAATATATACAAATATACATTCAAAAATTAATATTTAATAAAAGAAAAATAATAGAAACGTAAAATAATTTTAAAAATAATCCACACGTACTGTATATTTGCTGGAAATGCTGTCCCCGCTGCAATGCTGATCTCAATACTAAGTCTTAAAATATAACATATGCTCGCTAACCTTTTCCACGAAGTCATATTAAATAGAATCTTATAAAACTAATAATTCAAAATTTATGTTTCAACAGATAAAAAATATATATTAGGAAGTGGTTAGTTGACTGAGGGTTCGTGGTCAGCAACGCTGAGCTACTGCGACAGCTGATATCGACCAGACAAAACACAATGTCAGAATGAGCAAATCAGATTGGCCCACGAGATCTTAATAAAATACTGTGTAACCGCCTTGAAGGGGAATATATTTCTTAGCGGGGCAATAAATCTCTTATGCCTCGCCACGAGCAATGCAGGCTGCACGTGATTTCTTTGAGGTAGTATAAATCCCTTATATCCCACCTCAAAGCAAAAAGTTTTGGAAGTCAATGGAAGTCACGTCACATAGAACAAATTAACCTCAGCTCAATCGAACAGCTGTTTTCTATAAATTTTGAATTTGTGTTGATTCTTTTACAATGTCACATTAAAACATGTCGGTAAGATAAATTTGTCGTAGCAGGATCACAGGGGGTACTTGGGGTTTTATGCTTCCTTCCTGCTCGTGGTATAAAACCTAACTCGGGACGCATAAAACCCCGAGTGATCCTGCTACAACTAAAAATGTAACATGTGGTATTGAATGGCGTAAAAATACCGCTGAGTTTCCATACTTTTCTCTTCCCATTCCCCAAGTGATTCTAACGAGTGTTTCCCTAATAAGTATTCCATTGAATATTGCGGTTGACAAGCAATAACACAAATTATGTTCAGTTCTTAAACTAAACATTCACTAAAAAATCGCATTTAAAAACTTCTATGCAGTACGAAGCTGCAGTGTGACTTGTATCGCGAGCCTAGCAGACGAACACATGAGGTACACAAACACGTGTTTGTTTCATGTTATGTTTAGTTTTCAATACTCTTAAAATTAATATGACTTATCTCAAATCAGTCACCATACTAAAAAAACACACAATTACATTCGTTCCGAATCACAAGGTGAGCTTCATCGTAATTATCTCCCTTTACATTTACGGCAGCCCATTCCCACCATAATGTTTTCACCATTATATTGCACATTTTAATCGCAAAAATCACTGTGTTCCCTTCATTAGATTTTCTAGACTTTTAGTATGTTTAACATACAAATATTCTAATTGAATTTCAGCAGATGTTACTCTTGTTGCAATTTGTTAGAGGTCAAACCGTGGATTGACTGGACAACAGAGAAAAGGTTTATGAAACATACGAGGCGCCGGTCCGGTTCCCGATCCAATAGGAACTGTCAAATATACAGGTAATATTATAGTTAGCTAGATGACTGTATGCCATCTCTCGATTACATGCATATGTTCAAGACCGTCATTCTGTTATAGCAGAAACTGAAATGTATCAGACATGTCTCACGCCCTGACGGCTTGGGTTGTTGTAACGTGGTGATCAATACAACCTTACCCACATAACAGTAGTCCGACAGCATGCGACAGATTGACACACTAGGAAGGAGATCTGGCACAAAGAACAACGGGAAGGCCGCGACTTCAGAACATCTGAGTATCTAACCTTCTTGGAAATCCTAGTTTCGTTTTGTAACAGACTATATATGTGGCCGCTTTTCCAAGAAAATATCAACAAAGGGAAGCAACTCGTATTGTACCTAATGCTAACCACTACATAACACTGCTGGGTTTTAAGTTGGTACATTTTATATGAAACTTTCTCAATGAGAATCACAAATACATTTGCGAGCCAGAAGTATGCGTCATTTCTTTCAGGTACAGAGGATTTCATAACCAGTTCACTGTCTTTGGAATAAAATGTGTAAATACAAAGTCTTGTGGACGAAAAAGGCCTGTTATTTTCCGATTACAGAAATACGCGAGCGAGGACGTTTTACATACATGTACATTAGGAGTGAGTGAGTGCGTTGGGTTTAACGCCCCTTTAAACAGTATTCCAGTTATATCGCGGCGTGTCAGCTAAATGTTGGAGGAAAGCTCGAAGTGATGCAGGCCTCAGACGTTTACCTCTTTGGTACATTAGGATATACATTATTGGCAAAAATAAACACGTGAAATGATAGAAAAGATATTATATCTAGTGCATTGCTTAGTCAATAAATATTGTTCCAGAGAAATCAAGATGCGTTTGAGGATGATCTGGGACTTTCAGTTTATCCCTGAAACATATCCAAAACCCGCTCTACTTAATGTTCTGAGCATATCGGATCGTCTCCGTGCTCGGATAGCAGAAGATCAGGGGTCTATCCCCAGCCGCGTCATACCAACAGTCGTTAAAATATGGTACCTCTTGTAACCTGCCTTGCGCTCGGCATAAAGGGGCTAAAACAAGGAATGAACGACTCAGAGCCAGCATACTGTGTCTGTGTGTTGTATTTATGTGAAACCCGTGCATGATATCTCGGTGTGCTAGCACTATAAATCGGCATTAGTCCGGACTAGTACAAGCAGGCACACACGTGCATGCACGTCGCTATCTAAGTACAATGATCTTGAACGCGACGTTAAACCCAATTTCACCCACCACCCAAGTGAGAATGTTTGTTGAACCAACACATACTAGTGTGCGGCCAGTGCAATAGACAGGTAGTGTGACCTAGAAATGCTTATCATGACAGACAGTACACTCCTTGCAGTTGGTGGTGTGATGGATTATTTAGTCCATTTGTGGGATTTATGTAACTCACCGCCTCCGTGATCTAGTGGTAGAGCCGGGAGTCCGGGGTTCGATTCCCGACGGCGTCATACCAAAAGACGTTAAAAGATGGTCCTTGTTGTTACCCTGTCTTGTGCTCGGCATCAAGGGGCTAAAACGAGGACTGGTCGGCTCGGAGTCAGTATAGTGTGTCTGAGTGGGGTATTCATGTTAAACTGCGGCATGGTATCTCAGTGAGCTAGCACTATAAATCGGCATCAGTCCGGACTAGTACAAGCAGCCACACAAACACACACACGTACATGCACGTCGCTATATAAGTGCAATAATCTTGGACGCGACGTTAAACCCCATTTCACCTCAACTTGTATTGCATACATCACAGGCTGTAAGTACTGCATGGGGGGTCTTGTTTTGCTTTTCCATGAGTGCATGTAATTATTGGAAAAGGGTTTAGACATTTAAATAATGTTGGATTTGAGTCGGTTAGTTCCACAAACAGGTGTGTAAAAATGGGAATGATTTGGGATGTTCTGCTTCCACATAAAGTAAGAGGCTCATGTGACCAAGTATAAAATAATGCTGGCAGTTTGATTTTAATAGGTTCTTTAATACATTCTGAAGTGGAGTGAGGGGACAAAGTGTTTCATTTGCATCGTTTTTATAATTATTCCAAACTATTTTCAACATGTACCTGATACCTGAGCAAATTGCAACTTTCATGAGAGAAAATATCGTACGTTCTGATAGACTTGGTTCTGAATTATCAAGTGTTGTATCTAGTGTACTGAAAACTACAATTTCCTTCAGCTTGTATAGCTAATCCCTTGATAGCTTTATTACGTTTTAATAGATAATAGTTCAGTGTAAAGATGTATATTGTTCATGTTTAGCTTGTCTACAGCCTCGACCTATAGTAAAGAATATATTAAAACCAATATCTGAAAATATGTCTGCTTATTCTTTATCAGTGAATTCCCTCTCAATCGAATCATGTTTGACATAACTTAATCACATAAAAGAGAAGTTTAGTATTTTCACCATTGACACTATTAGAAAGAAACCCCTTTACGTCGCACTTATATAATAAAGAGTTGTGTTGATCATCTGTACCTTGTCAACATGTTGGACCTATTTTAAATATTTTGACAAGTGCCGTGCATGACCATTGTGGTGTTCCGGCTTCCTTTCAACAAAATGTTTAAACCAATATCTGAAAATAGGGCCAAATTTGAAAGCTGCTAATGGTTAACCAGTAAGATGCCTTTCAATCGAATCGAAAGCTTTTTCAGAGTCCTAAGTTACCAATACTTCTGGTGTTTAATATGATCGACAGTAATTGTTAGATAAAAGATTCTAGTATTTCCAACAATGAGACTATTTTTAGGAAAACCCCTTTGCGTCGCTCTTAAAATCTGTGCTAGAACCTGCGTACTAAGTATTCAATAGAACCGGGTTCCATTTTGTAGTCAGCAGTTAGTGAGATTATTGGAAGTCCATTTTTGGGAGTCCAAGTTTCGTCGGTCGCAACCATTTTTGGGTATTGATGTTATGAGTCATTGTCCTTGAGAGAATTACTAATTAATTGACGTATGACCTTTATTTAAATATTAGTAAATAATTCGAGGTCTTCATTCAATGACTCGTGTGTTACGAGGTGATTTCCAATTTGAAACGCAATGGTTAAACCAGAAATACATGTAGGTTCACACTAATTTCTGTTATTGACCACATCAATTGATAATCACCAAATTATGAAAGATTCGAGCTATATTTTCATAAACACGTGCCGCGCATATTAACCCAGAAATAGGTACGTACAGAACTAAAACGTGAAATCAGTAAATGACCACACAAGATCGCTGAACAATCGCACCTGAAGATCCGGGGTGGAATAGGTCTTCAGCAACCCATGCTTGCCGTAAAAGGTGACTATCTATGTCGTAAGAGGCGACCAACGGGATTGGGTGGCCAGGCTCGCTGTCTTGGTTGATGCATGTCATCGTATACCAATTGCGTGGATCGATGCTCAATCCCTGGATTGTCTGGTCCAGACTCGATTATTTACGGACCGACGTCATATAGCTGGAATATTGCTGGTTGCGGCGTAAAACAACAATCAAACAACTGAATAATCAAGTGATGTTATTGAAACACAGTTTTAGGTTTTCAATCACAATAGATGATACAATGGGTCGAATCAGTAGTAACTGAAGAATGTCTTAATACATAAAAATAGTGTTGGAAGCTAGCAGGAATTCCTCATGTAGATAAGACTAAGGTTATTGTGTTCGGTCACGGTAATAACCTTGCGAAAAAGGAACTATGGTATTTCAAAGGCAAAACATTAGAAACAGTTAATTTTTACAAATATTTGGGTGTTACATTCTCAAAACAGTTATCGTTGAAACAACGTCCTAATAATGCAGAGCTTCAAGGGAAGAAGGTAATGTTTGATATGTTACATAATTTACAAAATGTTACTGACCTTTCTTACAAAACATTCTTTAAAAACATTTATAAGATTTCCCCAATTCTTTTATTTGGCTCTGAAATATGGGGCAATGTGATTCCAAGGTAATTGAATCGGTTCATTTTTATGCGTAAAGGATTTCCAGATACGAAACAATGTACTTCAAATGTAATGGTATATGGTGGACGTTTACCTCTCATGTTTCACAATATATTACAGTTATTGAATACTAATTGGAAAATAATTAAAATGCAATGTTACCGATCACCACGGAAATGAGGCAATGTGATGTTGTATGAAACTCATATATCTAATAACTGGGATTATAGCTAAAATGGATAGAAATATCATTAAACCGCCCGCATGTTATCAAAAAAGAGCGGGCCACTGTAACTTGATAATGCCCTCATATTGCTTGATGACGGGCCATTATCACGCCCGTTGTTAGGTGACGTCATGGGATAGGATCGGTGACGTCACGTTCTATATTGACGTCATCTGGTTTGTTCTATGACGTTTCCATATTTGTAAAAGTGGGTCAGTGACATTCATGTTGATTGCAGTAAATGTTTCAACCCCGATATTGTTGTTTCTTTTTATTTGATAAAACATTCCATCCATTTTAGCTATAATAACGGTAACGCTATTTTTCAGAGCATTATCATTTGCAGAAGCCCTCGGTCTTTTCAACTGCACTCCTTCGTCGGGCAGATAATGGAAGACCTCGGGCTTCTGCAAATGATAATGCCCTGAAAAACGGCGTTACCCTTATATTATTATGCAAAGAACTTACTCCATCAATGTATGAACCAATCGATGTGAACCAAAAAATCAAGAAGTATATTTTGATGTCCCTAAGTCAAACTATTGTTGATATGTACACCCAACAGTGGACCTCTATTGTTGATTCATCAAGTAAAATATTAATGCTGCTAACTTAAGCTATACAAATCATTATTATCTACTGGCAGCTATTTCGTGGATGAAAACCTGAGAAAGATTAGAACATCACTATCACAATTTACATCCAGTTCACATAGATTACCGATTGAATTTGGGATGTACAATAATATACCAAGAACAAAGAGATTGTGAACGTAATGTGATTTAATCTCAGCATTGTGGTTTCGTGTGTCACCAGGTGTCAACACAGTTGCCAGCCTGAAACCCCCACCTCAACACATATGCATCATGTGAAACGCGAGCTAGACTTCTGAGCTCGTAATCACAGGTGTCGTTTCAAGTCCGCCATATAGTGAGTGAGTGAGTGAAAGAGTGAGCTGGGTTTAACGCCGCTTTTAACAGTATTCCAGTTATATCACGGCGTGTAAGCTTAATGTGGGAGGAAAGCCCGAAGTGATGCAGGTCTCAGACGTTTACCACTTCGGTGAGACCAACGAGCTGACGAACCTAGAAACATAATCGGGGCGAACCGGGATACGAACCCACAATCATAGGTTTCTGGCGTGCCCAAGGGACGCAGCTCTGCACAGCGAATCGCGGCGCCTTAGACGACTTGGCCACCTGTGCCCCCTTCCGCCATATAGAGACATATAATATTGATCATAACAAACATAAATCAGAGGTTGCAGGAACATTCCATATGCCATAAAAAGTTTTTGGACACTTTAAGCGGAGCACATCATTCATGCGTCTTGGTGTCCAGAGACAGGGGAAGTAACCTCAGTTAAGAGTCTTTAAGAATACGACCCCAGGAAAGTGTTTGGGGAAAGTGTATGGGGAAGCACATGTTCCTTTTGCTTTTTACAATATAATACATTTTTTTCCTTTCATTTGAGAACTCTGCCGTACAGGTATATCGCTTTGTTGAGTAGGGTGGAATCGTCGATAGGTCGCTGAATTTGCTGTCATGTCATCGTCATCAACTAGGGCCCCAGCGCGTACGTATGTGGCTGTATCTCTTGTAGACCTGACCTTGTAGTAGACCTGACTTTGATTGTTCAGGGAATTCACTCTTGCATTTGTTTTCCGAGAAATGGAAGATTGCCCGTATGCTGACAAGTCCTTTGTCATCCTATCTGAGTCGTTTATTTGACGGGAACTCAACCCTGCATTAGACTGGCCGTATGCACACGTGTCCTTTATAGAACTACGTGGGTTATCTATTTTATGCTGGTTGTTCCAGGAACTCAACCCTGAATTAGATGACGTCTTCTGAGATGCGGCAGATTGCTTGAATGTGGATGTGTACATTGTAGAATCACTCGATATCTCCTTTTGAGGGTGTTCGTTCTTCGAGCTTAAACCTTCATTCGTTGAGGTTTTCTGAGAAAGGATTGATTGCCCAAGTGCGGGTGTGTCCTTTGTGGGAGAATAGGGGGATTGAGCACATGACTGTCTCCTTGATGTCCTTGCCTTGTCAACAGCTCCACCTTCTACAGATGCAGCAGCAAGTATTTTTGTAGGGGATGGTGCAGCTTGTATAGGCTGCACAGAAGAAGTCTGATTGATGATCTGAACCTTTGAACTGGCAACAGTGGGTGCTCGTGCTCTGACAGGTTGTATTTTTACAGAACTTGGCTCATCAACAGCTCCGTCTTCTACAGATGACTGAGTGTGTGCAGAAGAAGCATTTGTGTAGCCAATCCAAGGGTTGACCTGACGTTGGTTGTTGGAACTGGAAGAACTGGAAACTGTATTTGATGTAGATGTTGTTTGGTTCTGGTTTAGAAATACGTTTCCACGAGATGCAGCAGCAAGTGTTTTTGTAGGGGATGGTGCAGCTTGTATAGGCTGCACAGAAGAAGTCTGATTGATGATCTGAACCTTTGAACTGGCAACAGTGGGTGCTCGTGCTCTGACAGGTTGTATTTTTACAGAACTTGGCTCATCAACAGCTCCACCTTCTACAGATGACTGAGTGTGTGCAGAAGAAGCATTTGTGTAGCCCATCCAAGGGTTGACCTGACGTTGGTTGTTGGAACTGGAAGAACTGGAAACTGTATTTGATGTAGATGTTGTTTGGTTCTGGTTTAGAAATACGTTTCCACGAGATGCAGCAGCAAGTGTTTTTGTAGGGGATGGTGCAGCTTGTATAGGCTGCACAGAAGAAGTCTGATTGATGATCTGAACCTTTGAACTAGCAACAGTGGGTGCTCGTGCTCTGACAGGTTGTATTTTTACAGAACTTGGCTCATCAACAGCTCCATCTCTGTACTCCACAAGGTACTCCGGGTAGCACTGATTCCTCTCAAATATAACAAATATTGAAGGATTCTTCTCGTCGTTTACACATGAATCATACAGGACGTGGCCCTTTCTCGGAGGCGGCCTCGTGTAGCTGCTGTCTCCCAGTGTGTATTTCCCCGCAAGCACACGGGCCAGGAACATGTACCTGTCTCTGCCTTTGGTGTAGCTGTGACTGTACTTTGCGTCACGGGCGAAATACGCCCCCTTGCCGTACACCGTAGCGTTCTTGCCGCTGACTCTGAAGTCGAAGTTGTTGATGCAGATGTTGTTGACCACATCTAGAGTGTCTGTGCCGTGGAAGAGTTGTCGCTGATCAATGATTTCCGTGCCATGAGCCATCTGAAGAGTCTTCTTCATACTGAAACGTCATAGTTATCATATATCCTTAATTAAATATATTGTTGGTTAGGCGTTCTTGTTACAACAAAGAAATGTTGTTTTTGTACATTTTTACATTACCAAACATATATCAATTCAAACAGATTGTGGTCTGAAGATTAACCCAGAAATTGGTTTGTACAGAACTACATGTAAATGTGATATTAGTAAATTATGATAGGAGATGAATACTTATTAAATTATACTGACACGCACGGGATTACACACTTACAAGAGGCCTACAATGTATCTAATATGTCAGCAGCAATAAATAAGTTGCCCCATAAAATATCAGTGCACTCACGGATGTCTTAAACACGTCACTGCCTATTGCCTTGAGAGAGGCAAGTGCTTTGTTATTTAATCCGAAAACTGTTGGTGGCTGGTATAGTTTTCCTGTAGGTATCCTGTTCGCGCAGGGACATTTGGCAAGTCACAAGTCTGGTCATGGAAGGCCTCGCATTGCCCTCGTTTCGCTCACGAAACCTATCCACATGATTACTAGTATATATTGCCTATTCTGGTGTCTGAGAGGTCTATATAGTTTACCTTTGGTAGTTGTGCCACAGTAAAGCATTCTGAAGTCTGCATACATGCTTGACTATGCACCTGTTCGCTGACAGAGTTTTGTAGATTGATGACATCACTGTAGTAAATTCATCGGTGCTGGTTTCGAGTTCCACCTTTTCACAGTTCTGGTAACGGTCAAGAGGAGTCCAGGTCGGGGGGACGTCAGTTTGTGTTACTGTCGCCGGGGACATCAATAAACTGGAACTAAATAACTGTACTGTAAAGTACAACGTTCTTGTATATGCTCGTGCATGGTCGTGAGGTGTTCATGTGTACGGAACTGTATGGTATTTTAACATGAATGAAATATTTAATGGAAATCATTCATGAATATGACGCCATTTGGCTTGGGTTTTAGCCTATAACAACCATGATATTTTAACGATGAAGAGGTCTGTTGTGGATTCCTGTGTACACCTCACAAAATTACTGAACTGCAATAACATTACTAAATCTTGCCATGTATTAAGGCAGTCCCGGGCGTCATAAATTTATACAAACATCGGTCTCCGGTTGACTAGCCTCCGAGTTTGATACTTCCTGTTGACCTGAACCAGAGATGTAAAGTCCAGGCGGTATTCCTGATCTCCGATAGTGTAGAGGTAGGTGTCCTGTCCTGCCAGGTACTTGGTCTCCAGGGTCAGCTGAAGCTCCGGCTGAAGAAAGGGTCAGCAGCATTACCATGTGAAAACAAATAATGTTGATAAATTAAACAGTCAATGAAAGGGTGTCACTGAATGGCATAAATTACATAGTGGGTGACATAACTCCATTGTACGCCATATATCAAGGAGGTGAAGGTGAAATGGGGTTTAACGTCGCGTCCAAGATTATTGCACTTGTACTGATGCCGATTCATAGTGCTAGCGCACTGAGATACCATGCCGCAGTTTAACATGAATACCCCACTCAGACACAGTTAACTTACCCCGAGCCGACCAGTCCTTGTTTTAGCCCCTTAATGCCGAGCGCCAGACAGGGTAACAACAAGTACCATCTTTTAACATCTTTCGGTAAGACGCGGCCGGGAATCGAACCCCGGACCTTCGGCTCTCCAGGCGGACGCTCTACCACTAGACCACGGAGGCGGTCCAATATATCAAGGAACAGTTATCTGTCTATTTATGTACAAGAATGTATATGATATATAAAAGGATAAAAAGGGTGAGGGTGAAGGGTCAATAAGGATGGGTTACCGGAAGAAAGGGATGCCACTTTGCATCATTGTCCTTCCAGTACCACACCCACTGTGTGTAGAGAGAGATGGCGTCACTTCCGGCCTCCGCGTAAGACCGAGTTGACAATCTTTGGAAACTGAACTTATTAACTGAATTTCTCGTAGGTGGGTCAAGAATTCCGTCAAAGGTGACAGTTGTTTCTTTGATACATCCAAATCTCTTGATCTGGAAGAAAGGAACCAAAGGATGAGGTTGTGAGAAAAGTGTTTGTAATGGTAGAAGTCTTGGCAGCATCTGTTATCTTACTTGAAGAGAGACTTTGTTCCAGGGTTTACAAAGCTTCTCCCCTCCCCCAACCGAAGACACCCGACACAACACAAAATTATTCTCACCTCCACCACCGTTTCGTCCTCGTTATTGCAGAATGCTTGCTCCACCAGTTCCGTTTGTTCATTGGATAGAAAGCTCCATCTGTCAGGCAAAGACTCATATTGCCACACATACGGTGCCCTTTTCTGGTGATGTAAACGAGAGCAGGAACATGGTCCTCCGACATAGAGCTCACACAGCTCGCTGGACCCATGGGTCAGACTGTGTCTTAATGTCTTCGCTACAAGACAATAAACCTATTTCACTCAAACACCAGAATGTTGATATATTGTGATGTAACATCATGTTTACTGTTTTCTTGCATTGGCGCTCCGCTTGTCTCAAAATACGGATAACTCGACTTAGAGTCGATGGTAAATTTGCAAATTATTGAGTGAGTGAGTATGGTTTAGACAAATTCCATCCATATCACTGCAGTGAACCCTAAGTAGGCTCAACACATTGTGCCTATCAGGGGTAATAATTATATTGATTCTAACCTGGTTTATCTGTTGCACATTCGCTGGTTTTCGGGGGTCTTTCTGGTGACTCATGACCTCCGCCCCTCCCTCTGCCTCGTCCTCTGCCCCTCCACCTTCCCCGCCCACCAAATTGGGTACTGCTTGTAAACCCACTCATATCAGTTCTTTGACATGCCCTGTTTAATAGAACATGCAACTGTAAGTCTTAATACGTAGTGACGGTTCACAAACAATTGGAGTGTTTTCACTCACTCTCTGTGTTGATCTAACCAACTGACTACTTTCTCAGATGAAGTCTTTATTTCAGATATAACTCCGCAAAATAGTCAACTCAGACGTAATATGGTTTTAACAAACGTGTTAAATGAATGGGCGAATGTGTTGTGCCGCACTCAGTATAACATGAATTACCCAGTGTGTCATATCTTCATCCTATTAAAAACTATTACAATGAGTAGGAGAAACCAGGAGGACAGATTTGACTGATATTTTGATAATGAATGATATGTATCATGAGTTCATATGCTTCAAACTAAAGTCAAACTGTTTCAACACAAAATCACCAGGTTTTTTTAAGAGATTGAACATGTATATAGCATTTTTCATTGGACGTCTCATGTCCTTGATCAACCACCAAATGGAAAGGCCTGATACATAAAACGTGGCTGGAGTCTGTCCATGGCGATGTCTTCCGATGGTGTCCCTCACGTGCTTTTTGGGGGCAACGATCGGGGCAATATCAATTCAGAAGCTGTGGTATCAATGAAGACAGAGTTGACTTCGAGATATCAACTTCCTTAGGTTAGGGTTAGGGTCAGGGTTAGGCGAGCAAGCGAGCGAGTTGGGTTTTTAACGCCGCTTTTAACAGTATTCCAGTTATATCACGGCGTGTCCGCTTAATGTGGGAGGAAAGCCCGAAGTGATGCAGGTCTCTGACGTTTACCACTTCGGTGAAACCCACGACCACGGGTATGGTGCTGACAAACCTAGAAACATATATATAATCGGGGCGAACCGGGATTCGAACCCATAATCATACAGTAGGTTTCTGGCGTGCCCAAGAGACACAACTCTGCACAGCGAATCGCGGCGCCTTAGACGACTGCCCCCCCCCCCCCCCCCCCCCCCCTTCCGCCATATAGAGACATATAATATTGATCATAACAAACATAAATCAGAGGTTGCAGGAACATTTCATATGTCATTAAAAGTTTTTGGACACTTTAAGCGGAGCACACGATGATTTTGATGCAGAATATGTTCAACTTTCTAGTTTCAAATTGATATCGAACTAATTCTATGTTTTCATGAAATAATACCACATTTTGACAAACATGTATCCCTCTGTAATATTTATTGAACAGTAATGGTGTTCAAAAGTTCCCCAGCTTTTTACCATCAGTACATAACCTATATTATTCAATGATCTCATTATACCTATATCACTCTAAATAGGCTTAATTGAGTTGTACCTAATTCAACATTGTTTTGTTAATTAAGATTTAATATGGAGCGAAGTTTATGTTATGCGACAGTTAGCAATAATCCAGCTATATAACAATCTCTTAGGCCCAGGAGGTAGGTCAACTGAACTTTCTAATCAGTAAATCAGCGTCGTGGTTTCTAAACTCTCGGTAGAAGTGAACAATGTTTATGCGATTAGTCGTATCACGGCGGCCTATAACAAACTAGTCATCGATAGCATGAGCATCAATCTACGCTGTCGGGGTACGACCACACATCACACTAGCCAGGTCACACATTGTAAGCACACCATAAGCATTTAACGGTTGTAATAACAATCATGGAACACGGGGGATTCGTATGCCCCAGGTTCCACGCAAAGCTTCCAAGAAAACGTGTATCGGTGTTGTTGTGTGACTTTCGATCCAGTCACACACGTACACTTTGCTAAAAGATATACAAACAAGTGATTTCATCAGGTGTAAAAGTATTAAATATAAAAAAACACAGAGTCCAGATATTCGTGCTTGTCAAAACTCCTTTATCCACACAAGATCTGTCGCCGTTCAACGACACTTCAGGTGTAATGAAAACTTTAACTTACATTGTAGTCCTAGGCGACGCACAACAGTAGTATTTGTGGCGTCATAATGCTTGGTTGGTTGGTTTCTTGTTTAACGCCGCACTCAGCAATATTCCAGCTATATGACCTCGGTCTGTAAATAATCGAGTCTGGACCAGACAATCCAGTGATTAATATCATGAGCATCGATTCACGCAATTGGGATCGATGACATGTATCAACAAAGTCAGCGAGCCCGACCACCCGATCCCGTTGGTCGCCTTTTACGACAAGCATGGGTTGCTGAAGACCTAGGGCGCGTTGCAAGCCACGAATCGCTTAGAGAAAGCAAATTCATCGCTAAACCCGGGGTCTGCACCAGTTCGAAGCGCTTGCGCACTCTTCCAAAATGGCGGCACAACTACCGCTTGGTTGCCTTGACGTTTGTTTGTTTGTTGTTTAACGCCGCACTCAGCAATCCTCCAGCTATATGACGGCGGTTTGTAAATAATCGAGTATGGACAAGACAATCCAGTGATTGACATCATGAGCATCTATCCACGTAATTGGGATACGATGAAATGCATCAACCATGTAAGCGAGCCTGACCATCCGCGTAATGAAGAACGTAAAAGAAGAGGCTCGATGACGAGCTGATGAAATTTATGACTACTTTGAAGATGTGGAGCAGACTGAGGATGATGGGGTGTTAGCTACCTTTGCTCATTTTCTCGTTGATCCTGTCAAGAATTCCTTGTTCCGCTGTCAAAGTAAGCGGCCATTTTGGCTTGAGAACGAAGCGACCTCAGTCAGCGATTGTTTCGCTTGCACTGTTGTAAGGCGAATCGCTGTACATCGCTTACAAGCGATTGGCGCTTTGCAACGCACCCCTATTCTACCTCGAAATCTTCACGGGTCCGTCATAATGCCTATGATGTAACAGTGACAATAGAGGAAGAAGTAAAACGTAGTCCAAGGCGACACCCAACGTTATGCTTTTGACGTCATAAAGCATATGACGTCATAGCTAGTGATAATAAATTGTAACAATAGTTTTCCGGACAAGTATTATCGTAAAGGACCATATGGAGCTAACTTGAGTTTGCTATGTATTCGAAATTCGCTAATATGGATAGTTTAATTAACTGGGTTTCACTATATTTATTATTTTTGACTGCTGGTGTGGTGATAGTCATCAATAGTCAGTCGTTACGTATTGCACGTATCTGTCTATATATTGGATCACTTTGCTGATTAGATAAACACATGTCTCCAACTAGGCGTTTAAACCGTGTCGCGGAAATATTTATGTTGCGGAACTATGCAATCTGAACGATACTGTATATTTTTATTCAATATCGGTGATATATAATTTAAAGGGAAATACTTTGAAACACTGTTAATCCGGACGGTTAAGTTATCAGTGAAATCACCCGTATAAACAGAATATAACATGGTCGGCCCTCAAACGAAAAGACACAAAACACATTTGATTGAGAACAAGGTACTGTCATATTTTGATTTAAATCGATACTTTAAGGGCACAAGGGACCGGTCATTTGACCCCAACCCCACTGATTATCAAATGGTCGGTCCCTTAGCATCCGGATACCTACTGTTAACAAGCAATTCCGTCGTCTGATGTTCTCGGAAAGTGAAACTCAAATAGTAACACTATAAGTTTAAGTTTCACTTGGTGATGAGCGTGGCGTATCTTATCGAGGCCTTTGCTCTCGTGCGCAGATACCTTCGAGATTAAACATATCACATTGTTGGCCGAGGTGTTACGTATTCTTTCCAAAGAAACATAACATCTATATCACAGCGACCTGTAAGTAATGTATTCTGGATCAGTCAAGCAAGCGGATTATGACACAAGCAATACTTCGGGTACATTGACGCACACTCAGCCAGGGCGGACATCTTAGTCCCTGCATGTGATAGGCACTGGGTGCTTGCAACGTACCTGTAACTGGAGTCCTTGGAGGTCCAATTACTTAAACAAAACAAAACCTTCTGTGTAGAACATGAGCATGACATGTTTTGGTCGCGTGGGCACCAATATGCATAACTTGGACTCTGTGCCGGTTCAATTTGTCATCTTATTTTAACATAAACATTGTGCCTTTGTTTCGTTGACACATTCCTTTTCGATACGGGGGTGGTGTGGTAGCCTAGTGGTCTATTCGCTACATGGGTACAATGTGTGAAGCCCACTTCTGGTGGCCCCGCCGTGATATTGCTGGTATATTGCTAAAAGCGGTGTAAAACCATACTCACTCATTTTTTCAATAAGACATCACGCACGTTGAGACGCCCAACGCTAACATCGTATTCGTGCGTGCGTGATTCCCGCGCCCCCTTTCGAGTTGAGTTGATTGGCTCAACTGTGTCATATGGCCCTGTGACGCAGGGATAGGTAGCATTATGCAGATGGCTGTTTCAATGAATGCTCGTTCCACCCGTGACGAACAGGTCTGGTTGTTGATGAAATATAGTGATAGCTAAATAGACAGATTTTTTTATTCATGCACCGATTGTCTTTAAATGTAATATCCAGTTATGTATGACTGTTTAATAATCTCATACCAACTTTGTCTGGAGTAGGTCCGATAGTTTTTCAGATACTGTAATCAACGTCGGTACCTTAAATAAACTTCCAGACTATAGTCACCTGGCCACTGACTAACCATATGCTCCAAGGTATTCGTCGCTGATGACGTCACTGCCAGGAATCTATTCCACAGATACAGAGTAAGCAAGTACCAGTCCTTTTAGTGGGTTGGTTGGTTGGTTTGTTGTTTTACGCCGCACTCAGCAATATTCCAGCTATATGACGGCGGTCTGTAAATAATCGAGCCTGGACCAGACAATCCAGTGATTAATATCATGAGCATCAATCCACGCAATTGGGATTGATAACATGCATCAACCAAGTCAGCGAGCCTGACCACCCGATCCCGTTAGTCGCCTTTTAGGACAAGCATAGTCACGTTTTACGGCAAGCATGGGTTGCTGAAGACCTATTCTACCCCGGATCACGTCCTTTTAGAATAATTCTATACTGTTCACAAATATAAACATGATCGACGTACATATCTCTACTTGGCATCGATGTCAAGAAAAATCCCTCCTGTAGATTCTTTCTCAGATGAAAGACCGCATGAAAAATATTATTTTCTCTCTTCAGATGATTCCTAGAATCATCCAAGCGTGTGGCTCTCACATTGTGGTTCATTACATAATGATGCAGTCATCTTTCTTTCCAACAGGACAGTCCCATGGTAGGGCT